AATGTAGTGGTCCTCCGCAATTGTGAGTCGGGCAGTGCAGGCGGCTATAGGTCGAACAGGTTCTCCATTTGCTGCACGTAAGGACATCATATCAAGCGGTGTGGTCACCTTTCGGAGCTTGCGGCAAAGTTTGGCGTTTATAACAGACACAGCGGCACCGGTATCCACAAGAGCGTATGCATAGGCGCCGTCTACAAAAACTTCGACGATATTTGACGGCAAGGTGCGAGGACTTGAACATTTCGATAGCGCAGTTCCTGCCCCTTGAACTGTGACGGCTAGTTTCCCTCATTTTGAGGGGCTGGTCGTGGACGCATGGGTGACAAGGAGCGTCGATTGGGTGAAGGTGAGCGACGAGACGAAGTTGCGGATAGTCACGGGAAGACGTGTTTGACTGACAATCCGAACTTTCATAACCAAAAGGGGGTCAGTCCATGTAGTTGCTTCGTGGTCGGACGTCTGTGTAGGCGAGCACGCGACGACGGCTGTATCGGGAGATATGGCCAGGGCCGTCGCACGCAAAACAGATCGGCCGGTTATCGCGCGTTCGCCAGGCATTTGCAGCAAGGGGCGCCGCCCACGCGGCATACAGCTGAGTCGAGGCTGTGGTAGAGAGGGGAGGAGCCCATGAGACGGAAGACTGAGTAGGAGCGGTAACATGCGGCAGTCCATTGAACGGCGAGGGCTGGTGTGGCTGCTGCCTCTTTACTGCGTCAGCATAAGTAAGAGGCGCGGCGACAACTTGCTGCTGAAAGGGCACTGGCATAGCCTCAGCAATCTGGTCCTGAAGTGCATGTCAGAGCATGGGAGCTAACGGTGTCGGGGGTTGCTCTTGCTGCTGCTGTGGGAGCTACTGGCGCTGACAAAACGGCAGGAGGGAAAGCTGACGTGCGACCTCCTCACGCACAAAGTCTTTCATTTGTGCTAGAAGACGGGAGTGGTCAGGTACGACGTCCAGTGCAGCGAGTGGTTGGTTAGGCTGAAATGGACGACGGGTGAGAGCTCGTTGTTGTCGCAATTCGTCGTAGTTCTGGCACAGAGTTACCATTCCAGACACCGTGCCAGGAGACTTTGCAAGGAGCATTTGAAATACGTCGTCATCAACACCTTTCATAATGTGCTGGATCTTGGCACTTTCGCTCATTGCGGCATCGACGCGCCTGGAGAGATCGAGTATGTCTTCGATATAGGCGGTAAACGTTTCGCCAGCTTCTTGTGCCCGTGAGCGCAGGCGTTGTTCGGCGCGCAACTTCCGCACGGCAGGGCGACTGAAAACCGAGGATATTGCCTGCTTGAAAGTGGCCCAGTTTTCGAACTCGGATTCGTGGTTTGTGTACCACAGTTTCGCCACATTAGCCAAATAAAAGTTGACGGTGCTCAAGTTAGCAGCGTCATCCCACCTGTTTGGTCCACTGACTTTTTCATAGGATGACAGCTTTTTCATAGGACGACAGCCAGTCCTCGACGTCCTGGTCTTCGGCGCCCGAAAAGATCGGGGGGGGGGGTCTCGCTGATGAACCGGGCCGGGGCAAGTAGCGGCCGCGGGAGGTGTTGTCTGTTGGGAAGCGTCAACTTGCATGGTCGACGGCAGGGTGCGGGATAGGAGTTCCAGGGTGTAGGTGATGTAGTTACCCAGCGCGATCCACCAAATGTAAAGGGGGTTTATTGAAGGACTGAGCAAGCGGGTGGTAGCTCTAAAGGAACGCAGGCGGACCCAGATGACGGTGCTTGATCGCCGATCTCGTGCCTTTTTCTTGTGTTGATGATAGCTGACCTGATGGTATCAACGTCTTTCTTATTCACTACACATGTAATAAGCATTGCAGTCTTCCAATGAGAAGTCCATGAAGCATTCATGCAAAATATGGTGAAAAAAAAAAAATCAGATCAGCTGTTCGTGGAATGCAGGGGTGTATGCACCACAAATTTTTTCGGAGAGGGGGGGAGTCAACTATACTTTATGTATGTTTATGTGTGTGTGTGTGTGTGTGTGTGTGTGTGTGTGTGTGTGTGTGTGTGTGTGTGTATATATATGTATATATATATTATACACTCTCTCGTTGGCTACGCCCATGGTGGGATTTGATTGTAGCAAAGACAGCTGCACTTAAATAATTTGGAGAAGTGACTAAATTTAATCATTGCTTACTTAAGATCGAAATACTGTCTTAGTGCAATGATAAACAATTACTCTAAGAAGTGACTCAAAATATGTGACATCATTGGGAGCTAATCTCGTAACATCAAGGTAGCATCATCGTCTAGCTTTCATTATGATTTCTGTACACTAATCAATCGATGAAAATGGACTTTTTATTGTATTCTAAAAGTGTAATTTACCAATCTAGCCTTGCACAATAAAATTGATATGACCAATATGAACGCATGTACCATGCTTGACATGTTCCTCTAGTTGCTACGAAAGCAGTGCGGCTTCTCTTTGTAAAACTCATTTACCTCATAAGCAGTGTAGAATAGAGCAGGGACAAATAATAATATACGTACACCCATTTTCAGTGCTCATTATGGTGCACAGAAAAGGATTGGGCTTTGTAAAGCAAACTAAATGACCATATAGTGCAGTATCAAGGAACTTCTGCTAAGCTGCATTACATGCCGTTCTTAAGTGGAATTTGTAATCCTATTCAATTTGCAAAAGAGATACTTCAATTTGTCACTATAATTCATGGTATTTCATTTACACTAATATAATTGCACATTACGACCAGTTGTGAGTCTCTTTGCCACTTCCTTCAGTGTTAAGGGTACTGGACTTGCTACTCGCTGTTAACTACTGTCCGACTGAGTATACAACTTTGGCCACGCTGTACGTACAACTGGCCATATGCCACTGGTTATGTGACCAGTTTTGGCCAATCCCCCAATATGGGTGTAAACAAGGAGACCTGAATAAACTAGGAGGGGCAAGAAAAGTCAGCAGCAGAACATTGAAGTGAATTTCTCATAAGTGTTCTTTTTGCATTTCACTATCTGTCTAGCTTTCATATTCCTGGCCAGTTTGCCATAGTGGGTATGAGCCATTGATAAGGCAAACCAACCCAACTACTAACTAAAAGGCGGCCAGAGAGTGCATTAAGTGGAGAGTGTTCAGTTATGCAAATGGCAAAGGACATATTTAAGAAAGCTTTGTTCAGTCATTTATACATATGTGTGGGGATGCATTGATTTTTATTTAGTTTGTCTAAGTAGTTTATTGCAGCAAAAAAAAAAAGACCTTGGTTTAATGATTCAATGGGGACCAGTTTGTGCTTTTATGGTGTATTGGTGCAGTATGAAGCGTTGTTATAATCATGTTTTGGCCCACATGTTATCATTATGAATATCGTAAATTAATTGTAGATACTGACACTAAGCAATGTCTAACTGCAAAGATTTCGGGATCCATAGTCTGTAAAGAATAAAAACTTAAAAACAAGGTCTTGATGCACATTAAATGTAAATGATCACTCAAGGCATGTTTGAAGAAGTGAATTGAAAACAGTAGTTTTTGTTGCAAGCTTTCCAAGTGTGGCCAGCTAAGCTGTGAGCTGCAGCTGTATTGCATCCTAACCTTTTTGAGGCTTGGGATGCAATGTGAATTTAGGTGACTGACATTGAAATCATCTATTTTTTTACCAAACAGTGGGACAATAAATAAATATGTTTGCACTCATTACAGACATTGCAGGTACAGTTTGATTTTCTTATTGTGCAAGCAAGAACAGAAACAAAGACAGTGACAATGGTTTTAATACTGTAAATCGGATGTAGCATGGAGTATGTTCCACGTTTGTTGTTCAAGCCTTTATTCTCATCATCAGTTGGCTTACGGCAGTGAACAAAATACCAGCACAGATCTCCAGGTCAAGCTTGAATGTTTAAGATCTTCTCATGGCTGTCTTGTTTGCTTTTCTTTTTTAACTGAATGATTGCATAACCTCTCACTCCTGAGCACTGAAATTTCTTTCTTTTAAAGGAAAAGGTGGCAAGCAATCACTGTAGACATATTAAATTTCTAGTAACTGCTATTATGTTTGAATCATTTGGAATGGAATACAGTGTGGGTCTACTCTAAATAAGTTGTCAGATAGATATGCGAAGGAAACAGTTATGTTTGCTTTCTATCTAAACTCTAGAGAAAATGAGGTTGGGCATAGAGCTACTTCTTGGTCTTTTCCAGATGGGAAGAAAAAAGGGGTTCTCTGCTACTCTCTATCCTGGGGCAGTATTATGAAATGATTGTTATTGGCAACCCTGATAGATTTAATAAGCACCGGGCTCGTTAGCATCTGTGAATGTCATATCTGGCCTGCTGTCTCATTGTGGTTGGGCAGGACGATACCACTTTGACCCAGTGGTATCAAAGGGTCTGACTGTAGTCTTCTGATATTTTGCGAACGTAACTGTTTTGGTGAAAGTGATAGTCTCTGAATACCACCTGCTCTTGGCTATGAAAGCGATGAACATGCTGTAGCATTTCTGACAATCTTTTGTTTTGCTACCAGACCAGTAGCATGATCAGTTGGGTCTGAGCACATTTTTTGTACTTTTTTATGACTGGCATCACATCAACTGTCTGTGGATGCATTGCGAAGCCCCAGAAATCAAAAAGTTGAAGCAGCCAAAGTGAAAGCATTGTTTGAATTAAATGTCTTTAAACTGTCGTACAACTACAGTTTTGAAACTTATTAGATTTGCCTAAAGTTGTTATTTATTGGGGTTGAAAATTATTGCTAGTTGATTTCAGATATTTCTGATCAGAGGTTAAATGCTTCTTTCGTGCAGAGTCTTTGTCACTTGCAATGGTATTGCAGCCTGCTGCGTAGAACACTTGTTGATGAAATCGCACGTTTAATTGGGAAGCTGCATAGTGAAAATGCTGATGTCATATAATCATAAAGGAAATGTTTATAAAAGTTAGTTTTCTTACGTTTTGTTTTCATCATTTTAAAATTTTCAGGTATGTATTTGTGCTGACTGTTGTTTTTCTTTTTTTGCAGCGAAAAGAAGATGAAGGGCTGTCAGAAGCCTGTCATCATGTAAGTTTCTGATATTGTTAGCTTCATTCTGGAAATTTTTTTTGAAGAATAATACAGTAGTATTCATTAACCTTGTGACTGTGGCAATATTTTGTAATATTCAGTTCAGAGGTTTGGGTTTTTGCATACTAAGTATGTGTTGCTGCACAGACCATGCCTTATATTTCATCACCTATTCAGTTTTTAGGTAGAGACAGGACCGAATTATAATTGATCCTTTTTTTTTTTGCTTTCTTTCTATACACATTTGTGAGATGACAAAAAACAAAATAGTGACACACATAGATTTGCCCATGCTTTTCCTTATTAAGTTAGCTGTAAGGCTGTCAGATTTTTTAGCATGGTCATAAAACGCTACCTATCGGTTGTCGAGACTCCTGAGAACATGCAAGCCAAACAAACATGGGGCAGCACGTGGCTTGGTATTCATTATTAGTTCGCAAGTCAGCTTGAAATCGCTCCCTCTTCTCTCGGCAAATGATGCCATATACCTAAACATAAACAGTACTGAAGGCATATGTTTTAACTCCATCTGATGAAGCATGGGCCAAAGGCACATGCTTCATCAGATGGAGCACTCTTTACTTGCCTGTACTTCTGGTTTCCTCAAGAATTTATTCTGCGGTTGGGGCTTTGACATGCTCAGTGCATTTTCACAATGTTGACAGTTTGCCGTAGGCCTCATCTCATTCATGCACCATTCAGGTGCGAGGTCTGCACCACCACTATAATTGCCAAAGTTGCTCGACCCTGTCAAGGCCCCATCCTCGGATGTAATGTCACTGCATTTCTCTTGCATTAGCTGAATGGACTCTGACATTTATTTAGAAATCATTGTACTTGCATTCATTTTTCAAACTTTTTTCATCTTAAATATAGCTTAGATCTGTTAGAGGTTTCATACTTTATTGTCATCCTGGTCTGCTCCTTTCTTGTTTGTGTCTTTGCAACAGAAGTAACTAGCCCTATTTGGCTACCCTTTTCTATATGATATGTATGTTTGCTGGGAAGGTATCGGCTGAATGTCATGACTGCCATTAACAATGCAACTTAAAGTGTTTGCTTTTGTATATTACTGCCATTTACATGTGTTCAATGTGTGAGAAAGGCAATGCATCATTGTCATGTTTATGTAAATGCCACTTGTAAAAGAGCCGCTATCTTTTGTACACCCAAAGCCAACAGGCTCTTGATGTATCATCAATTGCCGTTTCGCTTTCAGATTAAGCAAAAAAGGAAGTGTAGCTCAATAAACAATTGTATCGGGCCAGTTGGTAAGGATCCATCTTGCTAGAAAGTGCAGCCACTATTACAAAGAACACACAACAAAAGCGCTTGTGTTGTGTGTTCTTTGTAATAGTGGCTGCGCTTCCTAGCAAGATGGAAGTGTAGGTCATATTTATGTGGGAATACTGTTGTTTGCATATGGGTGAAACACTTGTTCTTAATAACTTTCATTGGTTTTGGAATACATGCTTAATTCTTATTATTTACCGCAAGGTGAAGCTTGGCAGTAGGGTTTAACCCAATTCTTATAAAACCTTTTCGGGATGCAAAAAGGAGTACCTATTATGTTTTAGGAAATGGGCCCCATTCAATACTCTCACAGTATCATAAAGAACAATGAATTGGGCTAGGTGGTGGCTGTGCATGGTTTCTTCTTGCGCTGTATACTAAAAACAAGAACTGGACAGGGACATGAGAACATCAGATGGTGCGCAAGTTGTAAGACTGCACACCACCAGTGGTCTTCATATCTAGGTCCCGTTCTCATTTTTAGTTCGCAGCACAAAAAGGAACTATGTTCCTAACCAAGTTTAACTAATGTTTGTATCCAGTCTTTTATTCTGAATTATTAGGTAGCATATTAATTTCTGGTTGCTTCATTCACTAGCTATGTTTTCTCCACTCGTGCTGCTGTCCACAGTAGTGCGAGATTGACTGCTCTTTCTTTGCTATTACTGCATTATTTAGGTATGAGGCTCTAAACATGTTGATTAACTGAAACCACCACAAAATGCAGACTGATCAATATCAGTCTGCTTATACTGATCAATATCACTCTGCTTACACTTATCAATATCAGTATAAGCGTGCTGCCGCAAAGCACTCCAAGGGGACGTACATGTTAAGTACTGTGCCTTATTTGAGACCATACAGTGAGGTCAACCATCAAGTGTTTTTTCTAGAGTTGTGCGAATAGCGAAATTCAGGGTGTGAAGCAAATTAGAATGTTGAAGCGTGAGTGCAAATTGAATTGAATATTTTTTGAATATTTCTAGAAAGTTTTTCTAATAGTTTGAAGTGAAATTGTATGAAAAAAGTTGGGGAATTCCAAAGCATATTGCTATGAGATATAGCAACATGATAGTTTATTTTTGCTAGGTTGATGAAGCACTTGCAGGGTGGTATTTCATAGTCTTATTGACAGTGAGGCAATGCAGAGGCCGAGTCGTATTAGTACATGATTTGGCGCAACTAAAGTGTTGCCAATAACACTTCACTCGTCAAAGGCAAAGATGCTATTTCCTCAGCCTCTCTTCCTCTATCAACCTTTGTAGGTTGATACAACTGATATGGTGGACAAGGGTGGGCTCCCTTGTCAGCCACATCAGTTTTGAGTTTGAAATCTACTTTGTAGACATTAATATATAAGGACATCTGAAATTTTTTATGCTAAAAATCTTTGGCATCTGATTTTTTGGACTTCCTGCCCAAATTCAGGTCCATAACAGCATTTATTAAGCCCCCACCTCTGTCATGTCTATCATTTTCATGTTGAAACCAGCATTTTTTTCAGTCATTAAATTTGAGAGAGACAGGGAGACAACTTGAAGTAAAGAATTTCACAGAGGAATGGCAGTTAAGCCATGCCTGTCTGCCACCTTCTCAGCTTGCTGTATGGCCCGGAGCTGCACTTCTAGGCTCGTATCGCGGAGTACACTTTGCTTTGCCATGCATCTGGCGAGGCAGTGGTCAAGAGATCAGGCGGGGGCGGATTTTCGCTGCAGTCCCATAGTATATGAGAGAGGGAGGCGATGGAGCCACACTGTGAGCTATGTGGACTGAACAGATTGGGGTAAATGTGTGTGTATACCTGCGGGCATGGGAACGAGTGCGTTTGGAGGTGGCACCAAGCGATTTCTTGTGGCTTCGTGAGTTCGGGATGCGGTGGTGGTTTTGTTCGATACGTGAGAAGATATGCTGAGCGATTTCATGATGGGATATGAGGGGCTCGCCGATTTTCTCAAGGCTTGTGGGTCGGCCCACCACTCGGTTGATGAATTCTTGAGCTTGTTGGTGGGCGGCCTCTTTCCCCGGGTTCCCCCGGTGTGCACCGTAGTCCCAGACGAAAGATATGGGAGGCAGATCCTCGTCTTCGAGGGAGGCGAGGGACTGAAGAAGCTGTGAGGTAATGGGAGCGATCGCACCACGAGTGAAATGGGAGAAAGCGGTTTTCGAGATGCTGGGGGTCATAGTGAACCCAGAGGACGTTGCGATAGCTATGGCTGCTTCCTCAGCTTTGGCGGTGTGGAAGGCACAGACTGAGCCGGCTACTCGCAATATTGTGTTGGTGTTGAGGGGGGTGCGAGTAGTCATTACGCTAAAAAGGCCACATCGGGCTGCCAGGAGTAGGCCTCGTGAGACTGTAGCCGAGCTTGAAAGGCAGGTTTGCTTCAATACATGAGTGTGATGAGGTGAAGCATATTGAAAACCTGAAAGGGCCACTTTCAATCAGACTTTCACTGTATTTATCTTTGGGAAGTTATAAGTAAAATTCTAGTGTGAATCTAATCGAATAGCTAGAACTATTTGAAAAATAATTGAAATTGCGAATATTCACTTACCCTAGTTTAAAGAACCACACGCTAAGCTGGAAACACATTGAGTGTTTGGTTTTTTATGAAAAAAAAAAAAAAACCTTCAATTTTTTGAGAAAAAATTTCAGTGGGATATTCGTGTTGCTTCACATCGTTGTTCAAGTGCCTCTAATACAGAATTTGCAATTAGAGATTCAAACCACAAGAGGTTAATGTCATTTACTTGCCTGCATGTACTAAGATATTCAGTACTGCACTCACATGCTCATATAACTAATGCAAGTTTCTTTAATTTGTGGTCTGGCTAAATCTGTGTTGCCGAGTGTGCTTTTCTAGAGACTGCATCGAACTAAACAAACTTGTCACTATGTCTCAACAACTTTCACTCTATAGTTCTAGCATTATTGATGCCATTTTGTCTATCTGTTTCAGCTGCTCTGGATATACCGCCGTAATATAACTCAAGACAACCGCTTCAATGAGGCAGCATCAAAGTTTTGCCCACGGCTGATGGAAATGGTTTGTTCTTCTTCTCATAAGTTTTCTTGAAACATGTTTGCATGCAGGAAGCTGTTTATATTTGCCAACTTTAGTCAACTTAGTTAAACATTAGATAATGTTAGTACATGTATTGTATATGGCAGTAACAATGACGACCTTCTTGAAGTGGTTTGGAACGACCTCTTACGCTTGGTGAACAAGGACACACTGCAGAAAGCAGACACTGCTGTGAACAGTCAGCCAGATCTTACAGTCGTGCACAACAAGGAGACTTTACAAGTAGAGCACAAAGTTTCCACTGTCTGAAGTACCCTTACTTACTTTGGAGGGCTGGCAAGGTATATGTAAACTGGTAGCGTAACTTCCATAGAAGCCCATGTATCCAGTAGTTGGTGGCTCGTTCCACCGTTGCCATCTGCATATGGAGAGGACAACTAACAGCTAGCAGACAATAAAAAATAAATTATGACGTCACAACCAGAAGCTGTTAAGACGTCGTGCATTTGCCCTACATAGGGCAAAATTGAAATTTTTTTTAATTGGGGGGAGGGGGCTGACCTTTTACAAGCCGTTATAAATACGCAATTTTATTGTGCCTTATGGCTCTCTAAATGCATGCATGAGAGAAAAGAAAGACCAACAAGAAAGATTGAAGAAGCAAACTTGTTTTATTAGCCAAATGGTGTAATTGCAATTTACATAGAAAACTTCGCAGACAGAATTGTGACACAACTTTTCACGAGTACAGTAGCATAATAGTTCAAAAGCTCACTTTGCCCAATCGTGGAAAACCACTGCAGCGAGGCAGCAGCCTTGTGAATATAACTTTGGCAACCATAGAGTACAGCATCTCGTAGGTTAGCGTGTCGCATTCATCGGCAAAGGTGAGGGTACGCCGCCCTTGCGCCAGCGAAGGCACTCGTCAGTTACAGGAGTGGTTGTTTACTCATTCTGTGAGCTTGTTCAGCTATGAAATGTCACGCCAGTAAACAGCACATAAGCAAATAAATAAACTACGGAAGGTACGCACGAAGTCACCACATTACCACACAAAAGTGAGTGTTGCCTCGTTGACTCAGTAATGTGCTGAACTAAACTCAAGCTTTGATAGCAAATTTCCTGGATGTGCCCCCCCCCCCCCCCACCTTCATTTATGGCACTCGACCTAAAATTGAGGCTATTAATGATTAAGACAGATGTCGAATAAACCTTAAGTAAATGTATAGTTAACTTGGCATATATACAATTACGAGTATTTGAAAAATAATATTATCTTGAGCTTTTAGTTTTGGTTATTTGACCTCTCCTCACCTAGTCGCGCTTCAATTGTCGGCGGGCGTTGATGCCTGTGGCAACAGATTTTCGACACTTTTCATTCCAAGTTTCTTGACCCATATAATTTTAACATCGGGCTGGCACAAATTTGATGTCATATAGCAGATTGCACCTATGAGTTAGATCACTGACAATTTTTAAATCAAGAGGGTCATTTGGATCAGCAGCGTTTCTCGTCATTGGGCGCCGCCACATGCAGGTGTGGAGCTAAATAGTGTGCTGTAGCATGGTCTGTTGTGCCTTTTTGCTTGAACCTATTACAGTGGACTCTCGATTAACAAAAATCTGGTAAATGGAATTGCTGCTTAAATGGAACAATTGTGTCTTATATGATTGGTTGAGTACTTGTAATCTGCACTCTTGTTCATGTCTCAGTAAATGAAACTCCTGTTAAATAGAATATACATACAGTTGGCTCTCGTTAATTTAAACTCAAAGGGACCTCTGGATATTGTTTGAATTATCAAAAAGCTTGAATTATCAGAAGTTCTCAAATATATGACTCTCGGTTAGGTGACACTCCACATTATGGTTACGCATTGATATTAATACATAAAAAATTTTTTAGGCGTTTTTAAACCCTAACTGCACGCAATGAACAGAAAGCACAGGTGTAAAGTCCGCAAGTTTATTGGTTGTTTACTGCTGATCAGACCTTTTAAAGAAATCATTAATTGCCAACTGCTCCTTTACTATATGTGCATTCAGCACAAAGCTCTCTATACCAGTTGAGAAGCATCACAGTTTACCATGCATGTGCTTTGTTTGATACATTTCTATACTACTTTCCTTGAAGGCCTGAGGCGCTTATTTTCCGTTTTTAGACTGTTAGGATTATAAAGCACGCAATTTTTTAAATAGTAGTGGGAAACCAGCAGATATTTTCTGGTATGGAGGTGCAAATAGTATGAATTGACACAATGATGGAGTTGAAATAATAGGCTTTTAAATACATTGAAAGAGTAGAGGGCCAACCAAAAATTTAGTTTTGTTTGAATTAACTGAGAGTATCAAGAATCAGAGTTTGAATTATCGCGAGTCTACTGTATTTATATTTTCCTAGTCCCTACAGGTTCCATTTAATAAAAGTCTACTCTATTTTCGAAGTTATCCTCCTTGACCCCCCTTCTTTGGATGCCCATGCGTCCAAGCTTTTGTTGTAAGGACCTTGGTGAAGGCATCTTGCGTGATCCCCTTCAAAAATATATTTTTATGGCCATTACAAACTTCACTTTCACTCTCATTATTTTACTGCAGTCGAAGCTGACTATAGTGAACTATATTCACACACAAAAATGCTTTCATAGGAATGCATAGGACAACTATGGTTACATCAAACATCAGGCAGTGTGAAATGCCCTTCCTAAAAAGTTGGCTTTCTCTCAAAAGAAGTTGACTTTTTTTTGCAAAAAGATAGCTTTCCTGCAGGCATTTGGGAGTGCAAGCTGTGTGATTAGGAGGGCACCTCATGAGTGAAAACTGCCACTTGTCGTCATGTGTTTTCTTCTGCGGTGCCTCTTTGTCGGTCGTCATTTGTTCTGTGTGATTCTCTGCTCCTTTTGTTATTGTGATAGCAGATGGGAAATCGAAGAACCTCCTGTTCTTTGCTAATGCGGTGCTGATCAATGTATTCGAACATGGAGAAATGGATTGTGACGTCGCTGTTGTGTACAGCATTTCAAAAGCGTATTGAGTGCAATAGTGAAGCACAAGGCCTACATCAGGCCAAGGTGGACCAAAGGCTGCCAATGCCTCACAAGTATGCATAGCTGTGTGCAAAGATTTTTCAGGCACTTTTTACATCTACATCATAATTTCTCACTTGTAGCTCACCTCTGGATGTGTACATGCACCCCAACTACAAACCGTTGAAACACGCAAGTTAAAAAAAAAAAGACTTCCCTTCTTCATTCACATTTCTATGAAGCCGCCTTTTCTGCATTATCCTGAAGCAGTGCCATGAGGCTAACTGCAGCAAACTTGTTTCGTTTTCAATTTTACACTGTACATGCAAATTCTGTGGGTGCTATCTATGATTATGTTGATAGCAACTGGGGCCCAAGCATGAGCAGTGGTTTCATTTATGCCGCATGTTTTCAGAACTGTGTTGTTGCCATCCATAATAGTGCATTAGGGAAACAGGTTTACCCTTTCAGGTGCAGATGCAGTGCTCTGCAGTTATGTTATGACTTTAAATGTAGACCATGCTCATGCTTTCAAAACTCCATGGATACTATGATCATGTGTTTAGCAACAATCGTTTCGTCCGCAGCAGATGCAGCACCCAATAGCTCTTCATGACTTGGGGCAGTGTGAGCCCGATGTCATAGAACTCAATCGTGGTGGAAGTTGTTGAAGAGAAGAACTTCAGCCTCGGCCTGCATGCTGGCATAAAACTCACTTTCTACATTGAGATAGGCGAACAATCAGTTGCTGGCCATGTTACTTGCAGAAAGATTACAATCTTATGCACATGGCGGCAGTATATAAGGTGTGGATTCAGAGCACATTTTGGCTTCAGACATGGAAGTGTTGAGCCATGGTCACATTGTGAATGAAGTCACGACTGACAAAAATTGCTCCTTTTACACTGCTCTTACAAAAAATAAGTACTTGACCTATGTGGTCATCATGAAAATGAAAATGCGTTGATGTAATAGACACTTGTTTATTGTTGATGTTTTTTAGGTATTTCAGGTAATTTGTCATTCGGTTAGTTCAGTCACATTTTTTTGGTTTCATAAAATTCGAATCAAGTAGCTTTTTTCATATTCTCTGACACCCTCTTCTGTTGCTGCGTTTGTCTGGTTGATATCTGTTGGACAGAATCTGTTCAATTAACTTCTGCTTATACTTTAGATCTAGCTGAAAGATTCAGGTCTAATCACTTGTAACAGCATCAGAAACCTGTCTTGAACTGTTTCACTGAGATCCGACTAGCATTAATATGCTCCATTCAGCACTAATGAACTTTTGGTAATCTGTCAAAGATGATATCAGAATGAATTTTTGTGGACTTACAGCAGCTCATGCAGAATGCTTAAAGCTTTCAGTGAAGTAATCAATCGGTGCCATTCCAATGTCCTGTCACAATCTATCTCAGGTACGCTTGCAAGGGACTGGATCGAGAGAGACGGGAGACGGGCATGCCAAAACAAACACACTTTATACAAAGGACAAATGAAGCGAATACACAAAGTTAGCGCTATAACACTAAAAAATTAACTAACACTTTATGTACACATCAGTCCGCTACGGACTGAAACCAAAACTAGCTGCAATCTGCATTAGAGCCAACTCTAGCCCAAGCCGCTAGTATTAAGCCAACATGGCATATTAGTAACGAAACGTTCTTACAGTTCATGCCGCGTTGCCATGTCTACTCGGTGCCCTTGCCGTATCGAGGGTTCGTTGATGCTGTTGTCGACGTCTTCCCAAAGTTCTTACAGTCATCGTCCTCTTTTGCAAACAAGCCACTTAACCTCGTTTGCCAATTGTTACCTCGTTTGCCAGTTGGTTCTGGTCTTTGTCGTCTTCTCTGACTCAGTTAGGCTACGCCTAACTTTTCAATGTAATGACTGTGGTGCGGGCCGCATCCGTTCTGGCTCGAAGCGGAGGAGCTGTGGGCCCACCAGGAACTGCGGTGAAAGGTTGCGGCAAGTCCGGGCAGCCTCACTAGAGTCTTCTGAGATCGACGGCCGCTTTCCGAGCCTCTTCGCTGACAACATCAGAACCGGGCAGCAGTACTGCTTCTGTCGCTCCAGTGATGCTGACGTTCCTGATCTTCGCATTTCGAAGCCCCAATGCACAGTGATAGCTCATCCTCCGGGATTTCCCATTACGGCTCGGGTTGCGTGCCATGAGCCTCTCTGTCCAATCTCGTGCGTAAATGTGCACCATCAGGGGTCTCGTGCACATGCGCCGCATTTCGCGCCTGGCATGTGCCTCGGGCCCTTTTACTCATGACATGTCATTAAAGGCTAATTCACTGATGTCATGCCCAAGTGGGGCAGTTTTTTACCCATTTACCATGGTTTCCAAAAAAAACATGCCTGTCTTTGTCCTTCAGTGAATTGCTGCCTCTTCAGAATTCTTGAAACCAGTAAGAAATTGTTGGGCATGGAAGTTCAAGGTTCCCAAAAACCTGTGGCTTTTAGCTTTGTTTGAATGGCTTTTAATGTAATAAGAATAATTATACCAAAGTGTTCTTTTTCCAGCTTCATTAGTGATATGAATGCTGAGCTAGCAGTAACCAACATTGCCCTAGAAGAAGCAGGGCAATTTTAAATTTGCATAGGGTAATCAGAAAAGGGGCTTCTATTTCTAGTAGTCATGTTCCATGGAAATGTAACAGTGCATTTTAACAGTCTATCTTGAAGCTTTTGTAATTAATGTGACATGAGACCTTTCTATATCCCTTTGAATACGTGTTCTTCAACTTCCCAACTGAATTGACCGTGCCCTATTCAGTAGTTTTTCTACTGTTTACACCATCTATTGTCTTTCCTTGATCGTATCCTCTTTCTTAAGTAAATGAAGTGGATGACATTTGTATGCTTGTACTTTTTTTTGCCCCGTTTCTATTCTTACATACTTTACTGACTGCAACCTTTTCTGACATCACAGTGTCTTTTTTTGTGTATATTTTGTTGTACTGAATTGAGTTTGTTTCTACTCTACACCCCCTTTATTGTTATGTTTTTTGTGCATGTGGATTTTTCAAGTGCTATTTACAGTCATTGCTGCTACTTCACCTTAATACTATGGTAAAAAGCAAAGCAATTCAATGTAACACACAAGAATAAAATATTGTAATCATTACTATTATCTGGCTCTGTCTTTTTTTCTCTGTTTAAGGTGAGGACTCACTCTTAATATCATATGGAACTCTGCTTCATTTCCTCTTGCACAGTTTCCTCAGTGTGTACCTGGCGAAAAGGGACAGCTTCTGGCGTGTCTTATAGACCACAGTGAGAACGCAACAGAACCGGAGTGCCACACTTTCTTGGAGCGCATGCAATCAGTGGTCTTCTCGGACTATCGTCTTGTGTACAAATTCACGGATGCTTGTGACTCGGATATTAATCGATTCACTTGCGGCCGAATACCAAAGAGCCCTGATGTAAGTAAACTTTTTTTGCATTTCAAGATAAGGTATCTTGTTCACTCTCTCTCTGTTTCATTGTTTATAATTTATTTAGGCTACGTGCCTCTGGTAGAGAAGGCTTAGCTGTTTGAGGGGAGACAAATTTTTTTGTGGAAACATTGTCTTTTGTGCTACTTTCCGTTTTGCCGGGTTGTACTCATAGCATACCCCTAGTGTGGTGCCCATAACATATCTCTATAAGAGCACATACATATATTTTAGTAGATATTACATTAAAGGGCCACTCACCTGGTTTGACAATTTTTGAGCTGACGAGCGCAATGCATTCATGGGGCATTCACAATCACGTCTGCCAAAATTTGCAACGCTACGTGCTGCAGAAATAGGTCAAATTTCAAGATGAACGCTGCTTTTCTTCTTTTCACTGGCGCATGTCAAGAGAATGAGGGCATGACGTAGACGTAGGAATTGCCCTACGTAGACGGCAGTGCTGTAGCGTCGGTCCTTTGCGTACGTAGGCAACTTTTCTCTGATGTGGTCAACAGTAGCACGTAACATGGCAAAAATTATTTAACATTACATGTGCAGTTTGTGTAATTTGTTGCTTGAACAGGTAATAAAACTTGAGATAAATGAGGAGACACAAAACAGGAATGTGTGCGTCTTTCTTTTTTTTTTCGTGAATTTCAACGAGATTCGGGGTAACATGCCTGCGTTTTGCATGTGTTCGCATCGCTGCGGTTAGTGCATTGAGCAGACGCCAGCCCTGGAAACGAAATTAATGGCCCTGCAAATTCATCAACTCGATACGTTCATCTATTCTAGTTCGTCTAAACCACAATCTCCAAATGAGCTTGCACCGAGGCATCCATCCAGCAGAAACAGGCAGTAGATCACTAAATAACGCTGGTCAACAAAACAACGCCTCTCGCATCTTCGGCGATCGGGCTTGCTCGGAGACATCATGAGCACGTGACCGTTTGCTCGGATGCCAGAAAGGTTAGGGAAGAGATTTGGCTTGCGAAGGCTACGTGGGGCGAGCAGCAAGGGTTTCGAGCTTTCCTCTTTGCATCATCCTTTTGCACTGCTTCAAAATACCAGTTTTCTCAGCTCGTAATGAACTGATTGAAACATTTTTGTGGCATAATGCTCTTAATTGGACATACAACAACCATGGTCTAACTAACATTTGTTATGAGGCCTGGTGAGTGGCCCTTTTTTTTTGCATTTTCAAGGCATGCTTTAATTCAAACTTTACATCTTTTCACTGAGTTTCATTGAGCTCAGTTAAAGTGTCACAAGTTTTTGTTTATCTCAATATAGCCTTTTTTTGGTGGAGATTGAACCAACGTGTGTGTGTGCTGTATGCTTTTGCTAGAGTGCATGTTACTGGGAAACGTACAGTCGTCAGCACCTTTAACTCGAATGCTCCGACGCGTGGCCTTGGCTCGCTTGGACTGAGGTCAGCGCCAACCAAGTGTTGAAAATGATATGCTTTCTACAGTTAAGGATAGATGTAGGGCGTGTCGGTTTCACTAGTACATTTCCGTTTCCAGTCTGCCTGACTGGCGGGCCGAAGGCAGTCACTTCGTATTCTGTTTTCGCCACATTTAGCTCGTGGCTACGTTATCGCGTGCACTCATGGGGTTTGTTGTCTTATACTTATCTCGACAATGAACCATTGCGTGTGACAGCTTTCAGCTTACGCACCTTTTATGTTTGAATTCGCAGCTACTACTCAAAAGAAATCGCATGTACAAAAAGCAGAGCAGACGCACGTTCAAGGTGTTTGTAAAAGTTTCACTGTAAATCTGAAATGCAGTGGTGTTGTTATGTTCGGATTCAATCATTTTTAGACAGCATGAATTGAACTGTTCTCGCAATTTAGAGTGTGCCTTCCTGCTTGGTTCGCGCTGCACGGAAGATGTGGTCTTGGAGCACAGTATTCGTGCCAACCGAATACCCGAGGTGGTAATATCCGAGGTTTAGCGTCTCAGAACCTAGATTTGATTATGACATAGAATGGCAGTTTAGGCTTTTATGCGATAACTACGCATGAAAATTGCTTGGTTTGCATTGTATCTATGCATGTTTCTTGCTGAGAGCACGCACAAGCATTGCGCTTCGTACGACAACTTCCGTGCAGTGTGAACTGAACAGAAAGGCACACTCTAAATTGCGAGAACAGTTGAATTATTGAACTGTTCTCACAATTTATTTACATGAACAATGCCACTGCATTTGAGATTTATTTATTGTGCAACTTTTACAAATGCCATGAATATGCATTCGCTCTGCTTTTTATACATGGGATTCCTTGCTGTGAATTCAAACTTGTAAGGCGCGTAAGCTGTCGCAGACAATGGTTCATTGTCAAGTTAAGCATACAACAACGAACACGATCGGTGCGCGCGATAATGTAACCACGAGCGAAACGTGGCGAAAACAAGATGCGAAGTGAGTGAATTCGACCCGCCGGTCAGGCAGACTGGAAAAGGAAATTTGCGTATGAAACTGACGCACGCTACATCTATTGTTAACTGCAGCAAGCATATCATGTTCAAAGCTTGGTGGCGCTGACCTCAGTTCAAGCGCGATGCATCAGAGCGTTCGAGTTAAAGCTGCTGACAGCTGTACATTCAAATGGTGAGAGTACCTTATTTGAATTTCGGTAGTGGGTTATTATATTCTCTGCCTGCACTCTAGTCAATCTTATTTCAGCGCTCTTTGTACTACTATTAACTATGCTGAATTTTTAAAATAAATTAACTGGTGTATATGATTGCACTTCTGTTTCATACTTTTTTTTTTGGACATAGGAGCGCCATTCGCAGGGAGCAACACTTGAGTGCTTATCACGTGTCATCAACCAGCTTCAAGATAATTGTCGTCGGGAGTTACTGCACTTAGCTCGACTTCAAGGAGAAGATTTCCATTTGGATCGGCCACTCTTCTTTGCATGTCAGGAAGACAGAGACCGCCTGTGTCCTCATGTGGCATCAGGGGAAGGTCGCATATATCGTTGCCTTCTGCGCCACCGCTCTAGCAGAGAAATGAGCGAACAGGTGAGTGTAGCAGATAGGTTAGTGTAGGATGTAAGCCCTACTCAGTGCCATTTATGCGAAAGAAAGAAAAAAAAAGAGCTCTACGTTATCTTAATGCATGCTGGTGGGCTTATGCGAATAGTGAATTTTAGGTTCGAAGTGAATAGTGGTTTTGATCGAATAATTTCGAATCGAATTTGAATAGATTATATGATGTATAAAGAAAAATGGGCATATTTATCATGAGCTAACTAAACTCTGCAATATTTTTAAAAATTGAAACAAGGCCTCTATGCTAGTGCTTTCTTTTTCGTCCTATTCAAAGGAAGCCGACACAACTTTGAGAAGTAGCAGCATTTGACTTTCAGTAGGATACAAGTGGTAATCTGCAAAATACGTAACATTATTCATTACAGTTAGTGTGTATAAGTCGGCAAAACAAGCTTTTAAGTGGCCAGACTCATCTTGGACATTTTTTTGTTTACTTCTTCAGTGATCTTGATCATACTGCACATGCTTATGCAGTTGTTGCTGCTGGTTTTGAATATGTAATTACTTTCCTGTAACTCATTTTGAACCTGAGATAACTGTTCACTTTCTATTGTTTAAGGTCGCCATACAAAAGTGCTTAATTAAAAGTGATATTTAAGATATGGCAACATACACTAATTACTAGAGATTAGAAGCATGTAATAGTTTTTTGTTTTTTAGACTTTCTTAGTTATTTTATAGCAAAATGAACTTTCCATTTTCAAAAGCAGTTGGTATTGTGTTACACTTTTGATAAGTAATTAAGAAGTTTTGTGCTTGAACTTCTGCTTTGAGCTCGAACTTCTATACACGTACTGGTTTCTATGGCAAGAAGAGTTATTGTTGTACTTGCCCTAGCTGCAGAGATATTGAGGCCTCAAAATTGAACAGTCCTAAATTAATTTTTTTTGAGAAAAATGGAAGAAACTGATAACACCCAGTTTCTTCAAAAAACACCAATCGTGGTGTGCATGTTTTGCAGTGCTCATAAAGGTGCTCATAAATTGGTAATAGAGCTTTGGACACAGGTACTGGCAAATTGTAAAGAAGCCTCGTAGTAGGCTCTCCATTTTTTACAGGTTCTGCATTGTGCTAGCACCAAGACTCTGGGCAGTCAGAAAGGAATTACAAAAAAAATTACCACGTCCTAGTTGGTAAAGATTTGCAGAGAGATAGAAAAATATTTGCAGAAACCAAACATGTCAACTTTAAAAACTGAATTCTTTTGTCACTTTTCGATCCCAAAGACCAGTCTGCCCCCTTAAGCTTTAAAAAATGATCAATTGATTTAAGGATCTTATGTTCATTTAAAGAGTTTTTCTACAGCCTTTCAAGTAGCCATAAAATAGATTCACTAAATAAGCTTATTGCCTCACGAATTAACCACCGCAAAAACTTTTAGAATCTGTCAAGTATGAGTGGAGTTTTGCGATTTGCCACATGCTGCAATTGTATTCTTCCTCTTGTCCCGATGAAAGCGCTGAAAGCAAAGCCGGGAGAGATGGCATGGAGAAAGAAAATATGTCACGTGAACGTCGTGACCTTGAGCATTCTTTCTCTCTTCTTTTTCTTTGAATACGTGGCTTTTCAGTGCGATCGCGCATGTACGCTTAGACAAGTCGCGGCCACCTGCAGCGGCCACAGTAATGACCGAGCGCCCCATGCTCAAATCAGCTAATGGCTGGTACAATGGCTGTGACGAGCGATTTTTGGCACTGTGGCATCATTTGCCAAGAGAAGAGAGCAATTTTCATCTGACTTTGAGAATTTATTGTGAATTCCTGGTCGGCGTGCTACGCTATAATATTTAGCTCATGTGTTCTCGGTAGCTTCGACTACCAATCGGCAGCATTTGCTGACCATTCTCAAAAAGTGTTGCAGGGCCCCTTTAAATTTTAAGTGGAGCTTTGCGGTAAAGCAAATTTTCTTTATATAGGTGCTTTCACGGCTTAGCATCGCTATACTGCAGCAAAACCACCCTTACAGGTAGTTACATTGGGACTAATATAGACATATTCTTTCATATGGAATACTTCGAAATATTCGATCATTTAAATTCTTACAAAGCAAATTCAAACACTCTGCTATTCGTTCGAATATTCAAAGCATTTGAATTTTCGCACAAGCCTACATGCTGGTATTCGCAAATCGTCACTGATATGGTTGCTGGTATGGCAAGTGCACATTCTGATCGTGAAACACTTCTCCAGATTTTGTGTAATACTAAATGAGTGTGCATAGAACTGAGTAAAACAGGTCATAAAATTAAGCTAGGCCATGCAGTTTTTGATAATCCAAGTAATAACTCAGGTGAACAATTCACTTGTTGAAAAAGGGCCAGCCCAGCTAGAGCCCATGTTTCAACAAGCTGACTTGTATTTATTATCACTTTAAGTCTCCCTATTTCTGTCACAGCATTTTTTTTGTTCAAAGTGTTCAGTCACAACAACTCTAGAGAACTTTTTTTCTTGCAATTACTGTGACTTAATTAGTGCTGAATGTTGCCCATTTATTTGTGGTACTGCAGCCTGATAAAAATAAGCATGCTTAATATAGGGAAGCATTACTGCATACTTCACAAGTTGATGTAAATTGATGGCCGTGACCATTAGCAGATACTAAAAAGTGTTAAATCTTATTTTGATAGTTCGCAAAGAAGGTATCGGTACAACATTTTAAAGTGCTGTTGAGAATACCTGTGATAATAAATACTATGAACAATTTTTCATCCATGTTTTTTCTCACTTAGCCAAATTTCTTAGTGCTAGACCTTGCCATATAGAGTATATGCAGTGACTGTATGTCTTTTGTGGTTCAATTGTAAATTTCAATTTCTTTTTGTAAATTGTTAATTGGTTGAAAAAAATCTTATCTTTATAAAAATATTATTTGCAATAAACATACATAATTAGGTAAATTCAGTTGATTAGCAGTAACTGCATGAACAAAAGAACATCAAGTGCACACTATATGTCTCGATTTGTTCTTATTTTAGAGACATTACATTGAATTTTGTCAGTATAATCAACACCTGTGTACGAGCTGGTATTGAAAAGTTTTTAGACAATGAAAAATGCGTACATATAGTTATCTCAAAGTATAGTTTACTTCTATGGAAATATAGCATTCCTTTGTTTCAACCACATTTGGAATGTTAGTCCACTTCTTTTAATGCGTTAGGTACTTTTACAATTCACTATGCATCTCTGCAGTAGTTTAAAAACAGTCACCTTCAAGCTGGATGTTCAATTTCGTGAATAGGGCAAAGTCCTCAGGAGACAAATCTGGAGGGTATGGCACATGTAAAAGGGACCTCACCTTGTGTCTAATGAAATACTCGGGAGGATAGATCTGCAATAGTTTAAAAACAGTAGCCTTCAAGCTGGATGTTCAGTTTTGGGAATAGAGCAAAGACCTCAGGAGACAAATCTGGAGGGTAGGACAAATGTGACAACATCACCTTGTGTCTAATGAAAAACTCGGGAGAATAGATTTTTGACAAGAGGTATTGTGGTGATGGGCCATCCAGTATTTTGTATGCCACAGATAATCGCATGCCATAGGTGTTGTCGCTTTCGCTGAATATTAAGACCTGCAGTCGGAACTCAATAATGACAGGCTGATTACTGGAAAGGAATTCTCGATGCACAATGCTGCAAATCTGAAAGAAAAAAGAGAGAGAAAGAGAAAGGGGGGAGACGAGAATGCATTTGATTGAATTCTGCACCTACCTCGTCTTTCTCGCTTGTGGGGATGATGGGCTTTTTTTTTATAAGGAGATTGATGCTGCAGCCCAGACTCATGCCCATAAAGTCCAAGTTGCATCACTAGTAGTGATCCCAAACATGAATATTGAGTTATCTATTGCAAACTTTTGGAGTTTGTGGCAGACTTTGATGCTATGTTTTTTATGCTCCTGGATCAGCAGCCCTAGGGACAAATTCAGCAGTCATATGATGCATGTTCAAATCACTTGTAACAGTTCACTGGACTATTCTGTATGACAGATTGATAATGGAAGCAGCGTGGATTGCTTTCTGACAATCCTTGAGCATAAGTTGCTTGTCCATGACTACTGCTGTGGTGTTCCTTGGCTAAGCCTGGCATTTGCATTGTTAAACACATCATCATACATAAGTTGCGAATAGTTGTCGACATTTCGCAGTGTTGAGCTCTTCTAATATAATCTTCATTTCTTGTCATCTTCCTGGATATTCTTGTGCTCTTAAAGGGGCCCTGCAACACTTTTTTCAGCATGGTTAGAAAACATTGCCGATCGGTTGTAAAGGCTCCTGAGAACGCACGAGCCAAACATCATACTACTGCATAGGATTCGACCTGGAATTTACCATAAATTCTTAAAGTCAGCTAGAAAACGCACCCTCTTCTCTTGACAAATGACCCCATATAGTACTCACAGGGACCATGTTATTATAAGCGTGAAATCCCTGGACATTGACTGATTTTGAGCAATGTGAGCTGCATAATTACCGTGGCTGCCTCAGAATGCCACCACATGCCTGCATGTGATCACTCTGAAAATAAGTTGTGTGTTCGGGGGGGGGGGGGGGGGAGGCGAAAGTTTTTCAAGGTCATTACGTGCACTTGTGAAGAGACGCATCTTCTTGCCTCCTTGTCATCCCCTTCTCTGTGAAGCCTTCAGCATGTTTGAGAGTATGAAACAAGAATGTGCTTGAAGCGTGTCACAGATTCCTGTAGCTGTGCTTGCACTTGATAAATTCTGCCCCATTGTGATGGTCTTGTGCAGGGGTGCAACAGCTGTGCCAATTGTGCCAAATTGATACAATGCCCCATTTTTTCATCGAGCTGCACAAAAATAACAAAATTTTCCCAAATTGTGCCACACTGTGCCATAATGTCCGACCAGGCTAAAAATTTTCTCAGTTGTGCTAATTTCAGTGAGAAATGGAGGCTACGTTGGCCACCTGTAGTTGGCATCATCAATTAATCCAGGGATCCAGGAACACAGACCCTAACTCTTAACCACTGCTAAGCCAGGACCTCGCGAAATGCAATCGCTCTGATAAAGTAACAACGCCGCGTGCCCATCGGTCCGCTGACCGCTGCTGATATCTATGGGCGGGACGACGCAACTTGACAAAAATGCGTTGCTGTAGCCAGCAACACTTTGCGGGTCAGCAAATGCGGTCACGGCACGCTCGGTTAGCATATGCCGCTATTAATACGCATGAACAAACTTGACAGGCTGCGAACGCCGCCTTTGCTGGTGACCACAATGGTTACCAAAGCAACGGCACATACGATAGATGTGCGTTGCTGTCGCTGGGCCAATGGGTGCATTCTGGTGTTACCTTATTTAGTCAAACACGCCTTTCAAGCGAGCTGAAAAGTTGTGCCCTAATCTTGACTCTATCGTCAAAATAAAAGAGGAGGGGGGAAGTTCAGCAGTTCGAAAATTTCTTGACCTTGTTCTAACTAGTGCAGAATGCCACTTAAGCCACCTTCACCCCATAGTACACGGGTGGCCTTCAGAAAAGCATTTTATTATTTGTGATTACTTATGCGTGTATACGGCACATAATTGTCAGTACTACCGTATTTTCTGGTTTGTAAGTCGCACCTTTGTATAGGAAGCACCCCACTATTTTCGCACGTTTTCACGACTAAATTCATCATAAGACGCACCTCTTTTCTGCGTGTTCAGCCCAACTGAGTATAATTCAGCATGCGCTTAGTTTCAGATGCATTGTACTTACCCATTCTGGATCACTCGCATTCCCCTAACCCTTCAGTAAAAGTTCCACAGGTTGCAGCAAAAAGGCAACGATCAAGTGCTTGTAAGCAGAAAAAGAATTTATTCTTCACTGTGCATCATTGAAAAACCATCAAAGGCCTTATCCTTCGGTGCGCTGTCGAACAGTTTGGCCAATTCACTAGGCAGGGTCGCAGGGACATCATTGTAATCTTCCAAGTTGCTGCTGTCACAATTGCTGGCAGGTGCAGATGCCACAAGGCCAGCTTTTTGAAAGCCTGCAGCTATTGTGGGCATAGACATGGTATCCCACACTTCGTCGAACTACTTGGCCACTTCGCCAAACGTTGCATGTCTCAAGCGTCCAGTGGCCGTAAAGCTGTGGTTGCCGTCGGTCATCCAGCTTTGCCACAAACGGTGCAGTACAGCTTTGAAACTGCGGTTGACAGAGATATCCAAAGGTTGCAGAAGCTTTGTCATACCGCTTTGTATGACTGCAGCCGTGCAGTTGACAGCCTTCACCCTTTTAAGTGTTGCGTCGGTAATATGTGCACGCATGCTGTCCACAACAAGCAGACCCTTCTTTTCATGGAAAAAGCCATCTGGTTGTTTGACAAAACATTTTTCAAGCCAAACTGTCATCATGCTTTCATTCATTTGTCCCTTTTCGTTTGCCTAAATGATTACACCAGAAGGGAAGCTGTCGCTCTGCAGCGTCTTCCACTTAAATAGAAGCATTGGTGGCAGTTTGATTCTGTCAGCACAGCAAGCTAGGATGACCGTAAAATGTGATTTTTCGTGCCCGGTTGTTCGCAGCAGCACTGACTTGTCACCCTTCTGCATAACAGTTCGTCCCATAGGAATGTCAAAGTCAATGGAATTTCGTCCATGTTGACTATGTGATCTTCCGATATCTCGCTTTCGTCCGCCTGCTTCTTCAGTAACGCTTTGAACTTCTCCAGGTTTTAAACGAAGTCTTCGGGCAGCTTTTGACAAACTGTCGTGGCTCTGATGCTCAAACAGTTGCGTCTCATAAATGAGAACCACCAAGAAGGATCACCGACAAAACTGACAGCTCCCATCTCCTGTGCCCACGTGTGCGCTTTGAGGCGCAACTGCACAGTAGACGGTCTCCTGCCTTCACCACGTTGTTCTAGTACCCAAGTGCGCAGATGGACCTCAAGTTCCGGCCATCGGGCTTTCAATCCTCGGTCAGCTTTCTTCGTGCTTCTCATAGCCCTAAGCTTCTCCTCTGACTTACGCCGATGGCCCACCATCTTTTCAGTCACACCAAAGTGTCGTCCAGCAGCAAACAAACTGTCGTGGCTCTGATGCTCAAACAGTTGCGTCTCATAAATGAGAACCACCAAGAAGGATCACCGACAAAACTGACAGCTCCCATCTCCTGTGCCCACGTGTGCGCTTTGAGGCGCAACTGCACAGTAGACGGTCTCCTGCCTTCACCACGTTGTTCTAGTACCCAAGTGCGCAGATGGGCCTCAAGTTCCGGCCATCAGGCTTTCAATCCTCGGTCAGCTTTCTTCGTGCTTCTCATAGCCCTAAGCTTCTCCTCCGACTTACGCCGATGGCCCACCATCTTTTCCCTCACACCAAAGTGTCGTCCAGCAGCACGGTTACCGTTTTTAAGCAGAAACTCATCCACTATCAACCTGTACTTTGACGTGTAGCTTTTCTGCTATTGCCGAGGCGACATGGTGAACCCGGACACACTAACTGGACAAAGCGGAGACGGGGACTCAACCGTCGCAGCACAGCTCACACCACGTGACCACACTGGCGAAGGATGGCTTGACTCCGCTTGGCTCGTATCGGCATCGATGGGGATTTTCCTTACTATGGCCTTGCAAGTGCAGCAGCGCCTTGGCTGTCGGTCCTTGACTACAATAAACGGTCTGAAAATGCTCTAAAAGGGCAAAACAATAACAATAATAATATAGTGAAATAAAAAAAAAACATTGTGACTTGCTATTTCTAAATTTATTGCTTAAAAATTTGGTAACTCGTGCAAAGCACAATAATTCCATTTTTTTTCTTTTTTTTTTTCCAGTCTCGCTTGCTGTTTTGTAACCTGAATCTTGATGTGCCAGCTTCAATTGATTGCTTGACAATCTGGCAATCGTTACCGCAGTTTAAAAATAAAAACAAATAGCTTCAGTTCCAAAGTGAATGGGAACAAAAATATATAAGTCGCACTTTTGCATAAGATGCACTGGGGAGAAAATTCAGAAAAGAACCACGTCTTATACTCCAGAAAATACGGTAATATGACTGCTGACGTCTAAGAAAGTTACTGGCAATTATTTAGACACTGTATGATATTGCTGGAGCCCTACAAAATCAAAGAAAATGTGTGTCACCTCTTTTTCCTTTTTCGCCACCTCTACTCCTCAGTTTTACGAATCTCCCAAATTTCAAGGTCGTCAGCTTGGCAAATTCACATTTCAATTTTCAGAGCCTGTCAAAGGATTTGACAGGCGTAGCAAATGCCAATGTGCATCTCATGATTGTTTACTGAGTACTGGTTCAAAATACTACTTCTATTAAAATAGCAGTGTTCATATTCACTCTGCAGGATTTAGAGGACGTAGAATAGTTCGTGCATTTTTTAGATACTTCTTTTTCATAGCGCTCCAATGTGGTCTTTTGTAATTAAAAATGAGTGTTCTTTTCCCCGTGACCTGCTGCAAATTTGGATTTTTGTGCTTAAAAAGTAACATATTGCTGCTCCAAAAATTGCTCCAAAATTCTATTTCGGCTGTTGCACTCCTGCTAGTGGTTATGGTGCTGTACAGCTATCTCGGAGGTTGCGGGAACTAAACCGGCTGCAGTTTCTTTGATGAAGACGAAAAGGCCCGTGGGCTTAGATTTAGGTGCATGTTAAAAAAACCCAGGTGCTCGAAGTTTCCGGAGCCCTCCACTACGGCATCTCATAATCATATCTTGGCTTTGGTGTGTTAAATTTCAGGTATTATTATTACTTGACGTATTCTAAATAAAGTTTTGTGGCTCTCAATTTATGATGCAGTAAAGTCTTTTAATGAATGCATTAGACGTCTACATAGAAAGATGTTGCCAGGCCCCTTTAGTTTCCACGAAAAACACTTCAGTCAAGTTAAATCCTGCCAACCCACGACAGCATCTCTGTAAACTTGCGGTATCATATGCAATGTCTCGGCTGCAGATGTTTCACTAATATTTTAGCATCCACTACTTGTACAAGCTTGTTGCTTATGTAGAAACCACATAAGTTATAATGCACAAGGCTTCTATACCATGAGCTGAAGAGCTACTGGTTCATATAGAACACTGGCTCTTCGCACACTCACTTATAAGACAAATTGCCGCAATGGCATTTGTATTATGGCTGAAAGCAGTGACTTTGATGCAGAGCATTATGAAGTGCCATGTATAGTGAATATAAGTAGTTTGCAGGGTCTGCACATACTATAAAAGACATTATACAGTGAACCATACTGAGCCTTAATTTATCAACTTTTGATTTATGCCCTCGCTGTGTTACTGGTGCACAAACACATTGCTTGATATCTTGGGATAGCTAAATTTTGAAGACAGCAGTTGTGGTTATAGGCAAGTCTGGCATGTGAAGAAAAAGGATGCATTGTGGCCTTACATTCTGTCATCAAGCTTCTAACATGGAAAAGGTTGAAATGGTGAATCACGCTCCTCTTTTAAGGCTTGCGCAGTGCACCAAGCATATTTTTGTTTTTTTATCACATATGCGATTACCTGTTGTACATGACACACGCAGTGCCGTGAGAAGCTGGCCCAGAGGGAGCAGCTGACAATGCAGGACTTCCGGGTGAGCCAAGGTCTGAGCGCAGCATGTCTGCAAGACATCCGCATGTATCGCTGTCGTGAAAAAACCTCAAATCGCCGGGAGTTCCGCTTGGCCCAGATCCTCCTTTGCCTTGAGAATGCAATGCATAAAGGTAAATATGAATATTGAAGATGTCCAGAAGTCATGCTTTTGATATTTACATCGCATAATTACTTGACGTCTGAAAGCGAGCATTTAACTCAGTTTAAAGTGACACTAAATGTATACACGAAATCAGACCAATAAAGTAGTGTTTCAAAACATTTGGTTGATCAAATCTAGGCTAATGGTGCAGCCATTTTCTTACGCAGCTGAAAATGGCCACGCTTCATTACATTGAGTTGAGTGCTTAAACAACTTCAACAGCAGTATCTGTGTGTGATGTCATGGATCTAAGTGTACTTCCATCTAGTGGGGCTTTGGCACAGTAAAAGTTCTTGGAACTTGCTTTGTTCCATGTTTGGCTCCTTTTGAATACGGTGTAGTCCATCTTTACCAGCAAAAATTTAGCTTATCGTTGGCAAAGAGAGTGAAAGCACATTGTCATTGCAAACTGGGGTGAATGGAGGAACCTTACAAGTATTTCATATGAGACCTCTAAGTAAGAAAACCAACTTGTTCAGATGATCTAATTAGTCATACCTCTAAGCAGGAAATAATCAAGGATTTAGCCATTTTTATTTTGTCTATAAGCAATCCATGCACTTCAAATATGGCTGGCATGCTTTCCATTCCCTGGAAAATAAAATTGGTGAATAGTGTTGAATAGTCCTGGTGAATAGTGTTGTCACAGTCCTGCCTGCGAAAAAAATAAAGAGTGCTCCTCTCATGCCATGGAGACTGAGGCAGCTTTGTGCATACGGGGCAGGGCTCCCTCATACACAACACCATTGGGCTTCACCGAGTTCTTCAGTGATGGAGACAGCAAAGCTTACACCGCTGTCGCTGAGGCCAAGGTATATGGTAAAGTTGTCGTGGACAAGTAGTAGTGCACAAACCATGTGGCCAAGCGTCTTGGCACTGCTCTTGGGAAACTGCCAACACGACTTCCATGAGAAGAAAAGCTAAAAGATGACATGATTGAGAAGCTGCAAAACTTTTACCGTATTGCAATCACAAACAATAGAGGTGATATTCTGAAAATGGATCGCACCATCTGGGTCTCGTATTTCCACTCATCATCGAGTAACACCGCAGGCAGCCACCGATATTGTGCAGAAGGGGTGACTGCCTGGTGCAAGCATAGGCGAGCCGAAGCCCTTGGGGAGGCCCCACCCGACCACACACCAATCTTGACCAAGGCTCAAGGATTGGCTGTGCTTCCCATTTACAAGCGCCTCACAGATGAAAAGTTGCTGGTACACTGTCTTCAAGGAAAGACCCAAAACGCTGCAGAATCCTTGAACAGGAAAACCTGGCTGTTGTGTCCGAAGACGAAGTTTGCCTCCAGGACAACAGTGGAAACTGCAGCTGCAATGACCGTGCTGTGGCTTAATAAAAAGCATTCAAGCTTCGAACACGTGTTAGAAGAGCTTGGTGTAGTGTCACCAGATCAACTGATCACCCTGGGCGAATCCCGCGATCAGAGGAGAATCCAAAGAATGTCTGTGTGTGAAACAGCCAAAGTAAGGGCTCATCGTCGCAACATGCCGAAGAAAGCACACCTCAATGACTCCCTTCTCAAGCAGGGATAAGGAAGTACACATGAAGCAGAACAATTTTAAGTGCTCTAGCTGTGCCACTTTTATGCTCTCACAAAGTTTCATGCAAATCGCACTGTGTAATCATGAGTAAACATATTTATAACTTTCAAAGGCATTTTTTGCAATTTTCAATTTGAGGTAATTCTCGCATCTTGTGCACAAACTTTTTTACAGATCTTCGTCATCCACTCTAGAATATAAGTATCTGCTTGGGGTTGCAATATACATCACAGATTTTTTGTTCCACAACTTCATATGCTGATAGATAGATGTAAAATGTACATATAGTACCTTTGATTTTTTGTGTTTAATGCAGCAGGTTAATCTCTTACTTGAGATACTTTTCTGTATTGTGCTGCTCCGATTCTGCGAGAAAATTTTTAGTAAGTTTTAAAGTGTGCACCAGAAGCCCTATATTTTGTTATCAAAGTTGTAGTAACTCTGGAACTACTATAGCTATCAGATCAGATTACAGTTATGAAATCAGTATTGCAAGCTTTATTAACACCTAAAATTTCAAGGATCTGGGTCAAGAAATAAAAAAAAACCTTTTTCAAGTAGCATCTCCGCTTAAGCATCCACACTGATTTCTTATAATGTTTAACCTCAGTATTAACATGCTGCTGGTAGTAAATAACTGTGCCAATTGTGATTGAATAAGCCCAAGAATATAGGAAAGCTACACATGTAACAAAGAGTGCTATGCATTTAGTTCCCATTAGTGTGGGTGATATTTTCATTCCCTCTATGTTTAATCCAATCGCAGATGGGAAACAAGTTTTGCTAATCACAATCTAGTTACCCTGTGATTTCCAAGATATTGCTAACAGTGAGCTTTCAAGGTTAGTAATGGCTTGTGTGTAGGCTAGTTGGTTAAGGGTCACGGGGTCTTGCTTTGAAAAAAAGACATGAAATTAGAATGATAAGAAGGTGGTGCACACAGGAGATAATGAGTTAATGTAGTTTTAGAGTGGGGCTGTGGCCCAAGCAAGAACTGCACATTTAATGAGTGGTTGTGTAGTATTGCTGCATTTTGCAGTTATCTTTTATAGATGTAAAGATGGCTTGCTTTTAATCCTTAGAATATCCAGTGGGAGCTGAATGTCAGCAGGAGATGTTGGAGCACCGTCGCTTTCTTCTTGAGAATTACCAACTCACACCAGACCTTGCGTCGTCATGTGAGCAGGATATTGCAACCTTTTGCCGGCGACGTCTCGAGCCCAATGGCAAGACCCTCCACTGCCTAATGAGGCATGCCAGACCTTCAGCTCAAGGGAGCCAGCGTCTTTCAGACCAGTGCCGTCGACAGGTGAGGACACTCTTTCTTGTAATTTTACCGAGTACGCAAGGACTGGATTGTATTAAAAAAAAATTTTTGAGGCCCTCTTCTATTTTGGAGAAGGGAGGCAAGGTTGGACACAGTGTGAAAGTATCATGAATTTATGATACTTCGGAATACTTTTTGCACAACTCTACAGCAGTTCCCACTAGCCCTGCAAAGGTATTGGTAGCGCCCAACCATTAAATTGAACGTAAGCTCAAACAACCTCGGAAAGGAGCAGCGCTTCGAAATAGGTAATAGTGCACTTGAAGTTGTAAAAGACTATGTCTACTTAGGGCAGGTAATAACCGCAGAGCCGAACCACGAGATCGAAGTAACTAGAAGAATAAGAATGGGATGGAGCACATTCGGCAAGCACTCTCAAATTATGACAGGTAGATTGCCACTATCCCTCAAGAGGAAGGTATATAACAGCTGTATCTTGCCAGTACTTAGCTACGGAGCAGAAACCTGGAGACTTACAAAGAGGGTTCAGCTTAAATTGAGGACGACGCAGCGAGCAATGGAAAGAAAAATGGTAGGTGTAACCTTAAGAGACAAGAAGAGAGCAGAGTGGATTAGGGGACAAACGGGGGTTAAGGATATCATAGTTGAAATAAAGAAGAGGAAATGGACGTGGGCCGGGCATGTAGCGCGTAGACAGGATAACCGCTGGTCATTAAGGGTAACTAACTTGATTCCCAGAGAAGGGAAGCGGGTTAGGGGGAGGCAGAAGGTTAGGTGGGCAGATGAGATTAAGAAGTTTGCGGGTATAAATTGGCAGCAGCAAGCACAGAACCGGCTTAACTGGCGGAACATGGGAGAGGCCTTTGTCCTGCAGTGGACGTAGTCAGGCCGATGATGATGATGATGAAGCTCAAATTTTGCTTCTGTACATATATTAATCTGCTTACATGAAAATAGTAAATTAAATGCTCTTATACCTTTTTATTCTTAAACCTAGGTATAACAAAGTGAAATTTCTGCTTTACATTGGTGCAGTTGAACCTTGATATGAAAATGTTTGTGATAAAACAAATTTTTTTGCAAATATTTTTTGTGTGTCTGCTACATTGAAACGCACATTTTTTCTCTCAATATAGCAGACTAGTTTAATGACTTTTAAAAACTTGAAATTACTTTTGAGGTTTGACATGCTGAAACTACAACATACTTATAAAGTGCACCAAGTAGGGTATTGACTTTGATAAACCTGAAGTTTTTTAACGTGCCTTTATGACTGTCTTTTGCCACTACATTGGGGGATCCAGTTCAAAGAAAAGAGCGCGACCCGGTTCGCTAACCCTTCGGTCACTTTATGCGCTTCTTCATTACCGGGATTTCTGAGTGAGCTGGATCAGGCTAAATTGATTTTGGTTTTGTAGTTCAGAATTTTTCAGGACCTTGAGTGTACCGTATTTACTTGTGTACTGAATGCACTTTTTTCCTAGAAAAATTAAAACAAAGTTGGAGGTGCACTTATTATGTGGGGCAAATTTTATGAAAACTTTTTCAGGATGAGCAAAAAATACGGTGATGCAAAAAAAAAAAAAAACTTAGATCGCTTAGCATTTTTCAAATAATCATATGCTGTTTGGAGGCAGCTTCTTTGTTGCCCTTCACTCATCTTCAGTTGTTGAAGGTACTATCTTCTGCAAGCTGTCCCTGTGCCGCCCGCGCACTTTGTAAAAACGTTTTGCATCTTCTTTTTTTTCGCAATCGTTTAACCGCAACAGTGGTATCTGCTGTGATTTCAAGGGTCACACAGAAGCGTGCACTACGACGTTACGATGCATTTCGCCAACTTCGTGGCAACCTTGCATGACGAAGGCGCCGCCGTCATTCACATAGCACCAAGCTACCACCGAAGCATCCAAAACAAACAGTCAATAACAAGATTAGCGACAAAATGTGGCTGCTGTCTCGCTGTTCACAAGAGAAGTTACTGTAAAAAAGGTAGCTTACATCTTGCGTTCCTTGAAGTACATGCGAATAACAAGCAGGAAGAGCAAATTGCAACTGAATTGGTGGTGCTGCCATGTTACGGAAATCGTCATGATTTTTTCAGGGCAACAAGTAATTTTTTCTGGTTTTCCAGAAAGCTGAAACATGATGGCGACGAATGGCCTTTCGCGACAGCCATGGCGACAGCAAACACTGTCGTCGTCGCTTGAAAATCGCGGGCATGTAGGTGGGCCTTAAAGTTTCGTATATTTGCAGGAAGCGACCGTCCGTTAGCGTGGGCAGTTTTGTGACCTTCGTTCACTGTGTGCTTATCAGCTGCGATGTCTCTACACTTGCACCGTTTCTGAACCCTGCTGTGGTGCGCGGATAATAAAAAAAAATGCTAGACCTGCGCGGAACGTGCAGCACAGTCATAGCGAAAGCTGGAAGAGCGGCCTTTCAGAGTCCTTTCTAAACACTCTTTGGGCAACAGCTGCAAGCACACTTGCTGGATACCCACTATGCCATAAATAATAATTTTTTGGTAGTAGGCCGGCATTCGTTATGTTATTTTTGTCACTCTTCGGAGAAGCATGATATCCGCTGCACATTGCATGGAATTTTGTTCAAATATTTTATGCAGTGGCTCACGAAAATGAAGAATCATGCCTGAAGTGAGCATGCGCCACAGTTAATAGATGATCAAGAACAAGATTTTGTAATGGGTTTGAGCATTTGACGACTCACTCGTTATGCGATTCGCATTGTGTGATGCCTGGTTGTTCCTTTGCTGTTCTAAAATGCTTCATTACTAATATCAACACATTCCTTTCCCGACATCAAGCCTGCCTAAGGAAAGTTTGCAACGGAGTTTCAAGAACTAGCATGGCTCTATGTTTGACTACTGGGCTGGCATGCAGCGGACCTGGGTTCGATTTCCTCAGTGTCCTTGGTGTTTTTATTTACTAGCTTTTTTTCTTATTTTGTGCAATAGTGGCTACGAACACCGGTGACAGTGGCAGACAACTATGGTGCCGCACGCGACCCTTGTTGTGATCTCGTGCTTTAAAAAGACGGGGAATGGGCCGCGCGTAGATAGAACAATGCGGCGGAAGGTGAAGGGGGCGAGGGAGTGAGTCGAGGTGGCCGATGAGAGTTGGCATAATAATAAAAAATAAAAGAGATCCTATGGGCAAGGAGGCGCCAGGTGTCAGTTAACGGGACTGCAGCAGACGAATGTAGGGGGTACGTTTGCTACGCAGGGGAAAAAAAAACAACTGATTTTGACGATTGAAGTTGGAGGTGCGTTTATTATCCGAGTGCATTCATTACATGAGTAAATATGGTATTTAGTCCCACACATCCTCTCACAGCGCTGGGAATTGGGCTCCTAAAGTCTCTAAGGACATTGTGGATAGTTGGATTCATGATGGCGAGCTCTATGTCTCCTTCTTTGACCTCCTACATTGAGCTTGCGAATAAGTAGAAAAATGACAGGAGATTAACCCCATACCCCTAAAGCAACCTAATGAGTGTAGGCCGCTATCCTTTGGCGAATTCATACTAACACCCTTGCTTCTCCTCATTGCTAATCTATCTTCACAGGGGGAAAGATTGACTCAGGATGCAATAATTGCAATAAAAATGCATAGCAAACAAAAATTTCATCTTTTGGGATTGTGAGGGCTTTCCCCCTTCCAGAAAGCTTGTGCCAGCCCCCTTAGATATGACATAAGAGACCTTAATACGGTTCCTTTATGAAAAGCTGCAAAAAGCAGTCATTGCCTGTGCGGAAGAGGTCACAGGAGATGAGCTATGAGCTCCAAGCCCCTAAAATTTCTTTTAATAAAGTTGTACCCTTCTCCTAGCCACGTGTGTTCATTACCATCAGGCCATTATAAAGACATGGTGGATTGCATGCCATGCTGATGCAATTTGTGAACAATGTCGTAGGGTGTCAGTTTTATGTGTCTGCCATAAACCCCCTTCCTTTTTAAGTTTTCAAAAGTTTAACTAATTTTAAAGCCTGAGCTTGTAGTAAATAAACACACAGACAAAAAAGAGGGATGACAGGATGATGGGCTTACTTCCAACATATTATTTATTAAGCAGAGGTGAAACATGTATGTTGACCAGTTGTGCCTTCATTCACTAAATATTTTAGTGGAAGTAAGCACATCACACTGTCATCACTTTTGTTGTCCGTATCTTTTTTGTGTGCTACAAGTTCAGCTATATATCGCTACCAGCAACCGCATTCTTATATACATCTGAATTTCAAAGCTCAACAGCTTGGCGGGTGTGACTGCTGTATGCGTTGAAGCTTTGTTAAAAAAGTGCAAGCCCATTCTTATTTTGGTTGATGCATTTTCAAAATAAGGTGGAGCATGTACTGAAGGTTTCTGGTGCTGGAGAGGATTGGCGAGTGGATCCTGTTCTCCAAGAAGCCTGCCAATCCACTGCTTCACACCTCTGCCAGGACGTCAAGCCAGGACGGGGAAGGTATCAGCTTTTGACTGTAACGACATTTTTGAGGGGTGTCGTGCTTGTGCAGTTCAGAAAAATAATGCTACATAGCTAAATGATTTTATTCATTCATATTTTATTCATATTCATTAAATGATTTTAAATGATTTTATTTTGCAAAGCACTAGAGAAAATTTTATTATGTTGTTTAGCCCTTGTGTGATATCCTCACCGTAGTGCTTGTACTAGCATCCTATGTGTTGTAGTTGTACTGGCGTATGAAGGTTGCTTTTTTATTTCCATGATTCATTCATCTATTGTGGGGAATTAGCATTATTTTCTATAGACCTAAAATACAAAGACCAATGTTATCAATAATACATAGAAGAGAGAATTCAATGCAAAATGCATTCTTGTACAGTTGAACTTTGCGACGAAATTCATGGGGATCGCAAAAAATTTCATTCTAGCGGTAATTTAGTTATCACCAAATAAAGTGGTAAGTAAAGAGAAAAAAGATGTACCACATTTAAGGGGGCAGTTTATTTCCAAAACTGAAAGAAATCACTTATTTTTGACTGCTTGCGCTTTCGCACGAGCAACGGCAGAATGCGCTGCTCACATACTGTGAGGAGCTGCATAGCGACATCGTTGTTATGGGCACCAAGGAAACTACGCAGCATGCCCAAGGAGTCTGTGATCTGTGACGCGGTCACTGGTGTCGCACCACCCGAACACCATGCGCGGCTTCGTCATCGTCGGATGAATCGGCAGTGCCGGTAGCTACACGAGCACTTCTGAAGATCTCGGCATCACTCAGCTGCTCATACATGATCACATCGTCGGCATTAACATAATCGCTCAGGGTAACGCTCTCTGGTACAATGTCAGCATCCTCGAAAGCTGCCCATGCGGAAGTTTCCGCATCTTGCCCCGGTCCAGTGGTCGGCAGGTTTCACGCCATGACTTGTGCAGGCCAAGTTCATCTCTTCGGGCTGAAACTCTGCGAGCACAAAACATAACATCACGCTGTGTCGACATCCATGCGGCAGCCAACATTTGCCAGCCATGAACAAGTCGACTTTGGTGTCGCAGCCAAGCTCTGTGTTGAACATAATTCACTGAAGAAGCCTTGATAGGTATGTGTGCTTTAAGCTGTTGATGGCGCCTTGATCTAAAGGCTGAATCAGCGATGTGCAGTTGTGCAGAAAAAACTTCACCCCAACGTTCGTCAGTTTGACGTTGCTGTCTAGGCGATGTGCTGAGCAATTATACAGCAGCAAGCAAACTTTTCTGTCTTGCTTTTTCATGTCGTTGTCGAACGTAACAATCCAGTCAGTAAAAATGGCCCTTGTCATCCATGAATGGCTGTTGGCAACATACTTCACTGGCAGGTTTTTCGTGTCCTTGAAGCATCGCGGTTTGGCGCTTTTGTCGATAACGTAAAGGGGCCATTTGTCGGACCCGTTCATATTTGTACTAAGCAACACAGTGACTCACTTTTTGCTCTGCTTGCGTCAGTGGCACTGTTTGCCTTCGAAGTCAAGCATCTTTGCTGGTAGCATTTCATAGAAGAGCCTGGTCTCGTCCGCATTGTACACGTCGGGCGCAGCGTACTTCTCAACAATGTCAGCAGTGTTCGACGTGATCCACGATGACACATCATCACAGTCTGCAGAAGCGGACTCTTCAGACAGCGTCTTCCCGATAATCTCATGGCGTTCCTTAAATCGGTTGAGCCACGTGGCACTTGCCTTGATGTTTTCGTTGATGCCTAAAATGCAGGCATTGTTCAGTGCTTTCTGCTGAATCAGGCTACCACTGATCGATATCTTCCTAGCCCTGGTTTTTCAAAACCAGGCATACACTGCCGTGTCAAGTTCTTCATGGGCTGGCTGGGTCGTAATCTTTCGTTAGGCAGATGTGCCCGACACTAGTGCATTTAAAATGCTCGCTTTGGGCTTCGGTATCGTTGACAGCGAGCTCGTCAAGATACCGTATTTCTTGGCGATACATTCCTTTTTTTAACCTGCTGCTGCCGCGGCAATTGCTTCCACCTTCTGCTCTAGCGAAAGAAACTTCCGTTTCTTACTCTGTGGCGCACTGTGCCGCAAGCCCTCACTGCCCTAGACCGAGAAAAACATAATACGCAGGTTGAAGCTAACAAGGTGCTGGACTACTGATCTACTGAGCTAACGCGATGAGGCACAAGGCAGGGGCAAACCAGGACCAACACTGCCAGCGCCACAGAACACGTGTCGGGTGGGTGGGGGGAAGAAATCAAAAAGACGAGCCAGCAGCCAATATGCAATGTGTGGATTTGGCTTGGCTTTCGCGGCATAACTCTATACCTCAAAAAATGTTGAGGAGCATTGTCATCAACCACAAATGATGGTGTCCCCCATGGTGTCGTGATTTTGCAGAATTTTGCAGGTTACGTGAAATTAGGTCAAGTTTAGTGTGTTTACGGTCGTTTTAGCTGTCCGATAACCAAGAAAATGCTTACTGTAGACTCTGAATGTGGGCCAGCTAATAAGAATTTTTTGTTGTAGACAGCGCAAGAAAAAAAAAAGCAAAGACAGCCGCTGTCATGTGTTGTCATGTGTACTTTTCTTTTTTCGTGCTGTTTTTAAGGATAGAAAGTGTTGTCACTTCAATTTACTAATTAGCATGGTTCGATTTGTGGCAAGTCGAGTAACTCATGTCCCAGAAAAATTTCGTTGAACCGGGAGAATAAAGATGTGGTTCATTTTAGAGGAGCTTTTAATACATTAGAGCCTATGGGATGCGGGTAGGGAATTAAAGAACGTATGTGAAGCGGAAATTTTGTTGTAGCGGAGTTTGTTTACGCTTCTTGCCGTAAGCACAGTACTAGCCGTCATTAACGTTTTAATGAGAGAGAGATAAACTGAAACCAATGTACTCAACCAATGATGGTACTTTCTTCTGTTTGACACCCCTCCCCTTTTTGTGATCACGTTGGCAACGCATCTCTAAATTTTTTTAGACATTCGGAAATTCAAAAGATTGTAAGCGCACCACGCATGGCATGCTTCCATTCTCTGACGTGCGTGCCTGCTTGCTCGAACATGTTTGCAGAATCGCAGCCCTTGAAAAAGGTTGTTTTGATTATAGTGTACTACTGCTTATAGTTTGGATATTCGTGACTTTTGTGGCTTACGTTGTAAGTGGCCTATACTGTATAATCAAGTAAAATAGTCTGCAAAACCTAAATTACCTTCGCTTTTTGCACCAGTGGCAACTGTTAGGTGCGGAAATTAAAAACTCCTGCATCTCAAGTACTTTTGTGCAGTGAACTGCAAACAGCCACATGCTTAGTAGCAGCTCTCTGCCATTTCACATCTTTCTCCCTCTGTCAGTATTGCATAGTATTGTGCAGGCCTGTGTAGGTAGGCATGGTTAGTGCATGGTCTCCTTTATTACAGCGGATAGGCATGGTCAAAGTGGGGCCTTTGAGATTGTGTTGAATCGATTTCAGAGGCCACACCTAATAGAGTAAGTCTGATCTCTAACTGTGCAATGCTATTGTGAGCCATTTCTCGTTACAATGGTCAGAATGACTAGCGTGCCCTTTTCTCCCACTATTGAATACTGATGTGGCTTGATGGAGCCTCTGAGGTTGCATTGGGGCTGCAGTGACCTTGGGAGCCATAAGCTGCCAAATCAAGCTAGTGGTGAAGTTCATTTGCCTATGGCTTGTGAGTAAAGTAGGTGGGTTGGTAGTGTACTGTTTGTTCACAATAAACATTTTGTTTGCTGTGGCCTTTCTTCAACCACATCACTGTTTCACTGGTTTTGCTGCTATGTGGATGAGCCAGACGAAAAACTGCAATGAAACACCATAGCATTGGAACATCATGCAGCTATTATAAAGGCAATTGCTCCAGTTGCTAAGAAGTCGCACTATGCTGATGCCAAATAATAATGTACTGCTTCAATAAAACTTTATTGCATATATGGCTACACAATGTTTCATTGGGCTGTAACACCATGTTCCTGTTTGCGTGCTTAAGGTTTTGCCCTTTATTGGCGTGTATTACAGTAACGGGCAGTAGTAAATATAACAAAGTACTAGCTATAACAAAACATATTTTGGCTTCCCCCTACACCTTGCTTATACGTAATGTGGTTTCAGTGAACACCTTATCGAATTATCATAAACGTTGAAGAAAGTTTTGATACGTGAAGGTACATCTTGGATCAAGGAGTAACTTCTCAACTTTTGATGGTCACTTAAAACTGGTCACTGGTCAGACAAGCAAGTATGCATATCACTATTGCATTGTACTGTACAATTTGCTATTGTGGAATTGTTCTTTTAAAACTTATAAGTGTATATCATATGAGGAAGCAATACTTTAATGACATCTGTATACATTGCATTTGTTTTGACTGTTTCATATGTTTATTTTGTATAAATTGAGTATTTTGTGACTGAATATTTCTTTGTTGCTGCTGCATGAATACTGTAGAAATGACAGTCAGTGCTTGTCACACACATGTATGCTTTAATGGGAAAATTAATTGTTGTCTTCAAGATTTATTTTGCACATTATCTTTGTTATGTGGAGACCTTGGCACTGTAATGTACTTCTTTGTTTTCTTTAAGTATCATATGTGAAAAGACACTTGAACTGAAAGTGAAAGTTGTGCTTTCTGTAAAGAAAAAAAAAATCAATGCATTATAAGTTTATTAAGACACCTATTGAAAAGACCTTGGGATTTCAGGATGCTGTCATGCTTAATGGATCAAGTCAGCAACATTGCCATGAAGGACACCTGCCGAGAAGCCTTGCTGCAGATCCAGTATTTTGTCGCACGTGACTTCAAGTATGTTTTTGCTTTTTGTTCAGTTCCGCTGTGTGTATACTTTTCTTGTACCTATGGGAATACTTGCGGGTGTTGGTTCATGTGTTGTCTTCATATTCTAGCCTTTCAAGGATTTATTGGTGTTGTTTTCAGCTGGTCGAGAATTATGTTTGGTAGGGTAAAAGAATGAGTCCTAACCTGCAAAAGAAGGCATAGTCTAATGGGAATGAATTAGCACCTGAATATTGTCTCAAATTGGTGGAAACTGGAGTCCAACAAAGGCAGGACGTATGTATTCTGTAGGAAAAGAGCATCAAAGGCCATGCTCAGTACCGAAGAGTGTTTCCGACATGTGCGTGCACTCTAGCCCATTCTTGCCATCAAAACGTTCTGACAATGCATGCGATCGGCACCCGCCAATTGGTGGCTTAAACGTTCTGACAATGCATGCGATTGGCACCCGCCAATTGGTGGCTGTCTCGGTATGGTGCATTGTGTTGACTTGGACTCATCAGGGTCGATGCTTGTAGCTAGGGCTGTCTTGGGTTGTTATCTATTATTGTTCCTTCTACCGTATTTACTCGCGTAATGAACCCACCTTTTTTTTTTTCAGCAAAGTTGATGCTAATTTGGGAGGAGGGTTTATTGCGCAGGAGAAAAAAGTCACGGGAGTTATAACAGCAAAAATTTTGCGTGACGGCTTTGCTCGTTTTGGCCGTGAAATGCACGACTAATTTTTTTGTTTTTTTCCCGTAACGAAAGTGTACGGATCGACGCCAAAGTGTCGTCCAGCGACTCTGTTCCAATGCTCCAGCGCATGCTGTTTGTAACCAGCAGTGTAGCTAGCGTGCCGGTCAAACGCGCCCTGCCCAGCAGGTGTCCCAACTAAGTTCACAACAGCAAACCCATAAACAAAAACGCAGCGTCGGATGGGGGTGCAAAAAGGTTGCGTTAGACGTTGCGGGTGTACAACGTGCTGTCGGCGCAGTAGGTGCGGCTGCGCTTAGCATGGCCTTCGAGATGGTGAGCGCGCAGCGTGTTTCTATGGGGCGCGCGATTTTGGAGGTCGTGCACTTTGTTTTTGAATCACTGTGCTTGCGTGGCGCTATCGGCAAAGACGTTTCTCCTGCATTCGACAGATGGCGCTTTACTGTAAAAGGCGCGACGTTCAAATTTTGATTGACGTCGTGAGCACTCGCGCTGCTCGCAGCTGTTTAGCATGGTTGCAAAACTGCTTTGATTTTTATTGCATTATTTTGTGATATAATGGCTTGATTCAACATTGCTCCGATCGTCAACTGCAATGGCTATCATAATGAAATAAAATGAACAGATACAATAAAAAGGTTTTTTTTTTCTTTTTTCGGAGACCAAGGTGAAGGTGGTTCATTATGCGAGTGGGTTCATTATGGAGTAAATACGGTATTCACCTGTCTGCCAGAGTTGCTGAAAATTTGGCTACTTTTTAAGGCCGGTGGTGGCTAAAAACTGTCTTGGCTACTTGGCTCCTTTTCGGCAACTTTTTTTCCCCTCCATTGAAGCAATATTATCAGTGTTGTCGACCTGGGAGTTGCTAGTGTTTCAGTATATGGTACCAGATATGGCAGCCAAAGCAGGCTTCCTGTTCTAAAAATTTGATTCGGCACTTTGATTGTGCAGATAATGAACTTCATTGAAAAGCTTGGCGCAGTGGCCTTACAGGTGCAATGGTCAGTGGTGGCGATCACAACACAAATGGAACACAAAACAAAAAACCACAGGTTTATGAACCGCCAGTCATACAAGCTTCGCACACACAAAGAAGATGCTTTTGGATATGTGGCTGGCACTCAGCGAGAACTACAGTCGATCCCGAATAAACCAAACTCGGATATATCGAATTATTGGCTATATCGAGCAGTCGAAAAAAAATTTGGGGACCCTTAAGCTTCGCCTTTAAGAGTTGAACGCGATAGCAAAATTTGGCCCTAGTGCACCCTTCAACCGCTAAGTGCATACTTATTAATATGTTTTGTTACATACACAAGCACACACACAAACATGCACACAGTAGATTGGACCAGCACGTGCTATTATCGCCGAATGGGCTCGTTTTCGTTGTGACACATGTCGAACAAAGTGCGTTAAGGGAGCCCTGAAACACTTTTTTAAGTAACCATGGAATGAGTTCACTAGAAGAGCTTATTGCCTCACGAATTCAACGCCGCAAAAATTTTAAGAATCCGTCCAGTGCGAGTGGAGTTACAAAGGTTTGTCTCATCTCTCGTCCCGACGAAAGCCCTGGAAGCTAAGCAGGGAGGGGTGGTAGGGCAAAGAAATTACCGCGCCTTGTTACCTTGAGCACTTTTTTTTTTCTTCGAACGCGCGGCTTTTCAGTGTGATTGCGCGCGCATGCGTAGACAAGTAGCGGTCTCCTGCGGCTATCTCGGTAACTTGATTTTTTGGTCACAGACGCACAGATGATTTTTCGTTCACAACCAACAAGGCTGATGCCGGCGACAGGTTTTCTTCGACATCGCATTAAAATATCCTTGAATTTCTCATGCAAAAGTATGGGATCAGTGCTCCCGTATGTCGAACTCCCGCACAGCAGGACATTCGCTATATCGAACGCTGCGCCGCGCCCAAGGCCAGAAAGTGCATTTTTTTCTAGCAAATACAGTCGAATCTCGATAATTCGAACTCGAAAGGGCCTGAAAATTTGTTCGAATTAAAAGAAGTTCGAATTAATGAAAGCTAAATAAACGGAGGGCTGTCCATGCAGTGGTGTAAGTGCATTGACCTAACACACGAGGGGGAAGTTTCAGAAGACTTACATTTATTCACAAATCACAGGACATCCGTTATTAATTGAAGTATTTGGTAATGTGCGCCTGCACACGCTTGCCTTGCAGCGAGTCAATCACTTTCGCACGCAGCTTGCAAAGCATTTCTACTTCGGCTTTAGCATTCTCCTGGCAAGAGAAGTTGCGCGTGGAAATGTCCAGCGCCGACACTTTCCAAAGACAACGACAACAAGGACTGCATAGCGGAGCTTCCCTCTCTCTGCTACGCAGCCGCAGCCTGGCCAGCACGTGACGAGAAAGGAGGAGCCTCTCCATGCAGAGAGAAGCAGATCGGCATTTGAGAGGAAACCAACACTCCACAGCAGCCTTTTTTTTTTTTTTTTTTGCTCTCTTCGTGCGCGTCGTTAAAAAGAGAAGGGTTACGTGGCAGGCACGGGAAAGGGGGAAGCGTGGCACCGGTGTGTGGAGACCCCCCCCCCCTCAAGGCGCAGAGCCGTGCTCCCGCAAAGGGCAAAGGCTGCCGAAGATATTGCCTTTTTCCTTTCCTTCAACCACACATTTATTCAACCCAAGGACAGCTTTCTTTTTTTCCTCTCTCTGTTCGCGTGCGGCGTTCGAAGGAGGAAGGGTCTTTACGTGGCAGGGACGGAAAAGAGAGAAGCTTGACACGGGTGCGTCGCAGATCAGCATTTGAGAGAGAGCAAACATTCCAACGCAGCCTTTTCTTTCCTTTTCATTTCCTTCACGGGCAGCGTTGAGGTGTCGCAGGTGCCGCCGCGGGATTGGGCGGGGTGCTGAGAGCATTATAGGAGCGCGGTATGTTCGAATTAACAGTCGGAAGTGCTTGAGCGTTCGAATTACCAGGCGTTTTTGTCCATTGGAGTACACATAGCTTTGACGGGACCTCATTGTGAGTTCGAATTAACGGGAAGTTTGAATTAAGCGAGTTTGAATTAATGAGATTTGACTGTATTGATCAGTTTTCAGCCTCGTTCTAACAAGTTTTGATTCCTTTGAGTGGGCAGTTGATGAAAAGGTGGTATTATTCCATCGTGCTGATTTGGTTCGTTGCGCTGCTCTTACGAGTGCATTGGCATTTTTTGATGCACAATCTGCATGTCTTAACGTGCGGGCATAGTGTTTTTCACAAAAAACTGATTGCCAATGACACCAAAATGAGAATGCTAGGTGATTCGGCGATCTGGTTGCAATGTTCGCATTTTCTTCCTTGTTCGTTAGCGCACAATGGCACACTAGCCTGAAAAGCATGGTCTTCGAGATGTGTAACCTCGTGGCGTATTTTTGGTATTTTCGGTTTTAAAAGGCGCGGCTCGGAAGCTGCACTTTTTCTAGCTTTTTACATCAAAGCAGTGGCTGCCAGCTACAAAAGCACAAGTGACATCGATATCGCCAGCATGTTCACTGTGGAAACTCGACGTTGCCTTTTGTATTTTCTGTACTTGTAAACTTCTCGCCTCATTCCTGATAAATCCTCATTCGGGAGTTGAACTGAACATCGACCCTCACGTAGCGATAAAAGTTATGACTGGTGCTTGGAGTGATGTCAAGTAAAGCACCTTTGTAAACTTTTTTTGCGGGCCAGGTGACGACTTCGGGTGCGTCATGACCGCTGGCGCACAGTGTCTCGGTGAATTCTGCGACTTATCAGCGTTTCCGGCGCGTTTCCGGCCACCATGTTGGAAAGTTAGCGACTTATCGGTGTGGATGACGACGTAGCTGTTTTTGACTGCATCGACAGTGAGATCATGGCTGCCGTGTTCGGTGCCACATAAGTGTACCTGTATGGTTGTGAATATGCCAACGCCATCGCTGCCGCCGCTAACCAACCTTTTGCCGCGCTACAAAGCTTGCATCGGCATTCTGCGTCAACGCTATTGAGGCTGAAGGAGCTGGATTCGCTTCCTTGTAAAGCTTCAATGATAATGACTAATCAGGATGACTGGAACTTGACGGTGTGAAAGAAGCAAGGCAAGTTTACAGACCTTTCTTGCGAAATAATGTGCGGTAACGTGCAGTTCACACCTTGTTCTTCATTATACTGTAAGCGAATCATTATGTTAGGAATTGTAATGATTTTTGAGACCTTAAATGCTTCAATTCAGGTCTTAAATATGCATATTTTGTATTTCGAATTATCTATACATTGAACTACAGTATACTCTCATTAAATGGAACCCGAAGGGACCAGAGAAATGTGTTTCATTTAACAGGAGTTCTGTTTACTGAGAGGTAAAGTGGGTCACAGCATTCAAGTATGAAACCACTCATATCAGAGAAAGCTGTTCCATTTAAGCAGCAGTTTCATTTAACAGATTTCTATTCACTGAGAGTCTACTGTAATTTGCAATCCCCTTCAAGTTCGATATATCCGGGATCATATCCGGGATCGACTGTATTGCATGGCGCACCATTTTACGGATCAACCATCGCTGAACGTGGCTTAACTTAAACCACAGTTCTAAGTGAATAGGAATTGAAAGTGCTCTGCATCCAGAGTGATCTGCACTGACCGAAATTAGAAATCAGATATACTGTATTTACTCGCATAATCCTCGCACTTTTTTTGGCGGAAAACCACTGCATAGCTGGGGGATGCAAGAATTGTGCGGGGAAAACTTTCCACAGAAACGTACAGAGCGAGAAAGAAAACGAAGTGGCCGCAAATCGGGATTCTCGCACGAGCAACTAACAGCAAGCTTTGAGAAGTACTAATTAAAACTTACCTCAACAATAAGAGCACAGGTTCAACACAAGGCAAGATTTATTTGAGACACAATAAGTGCAAGCAAATAGAGAATTAGAATACTGTATGCAAAGCTTGTGGGCGTTGCGTGCGTAGCGATAGCGTTCGTTGCTCAACAAGAGCCCTCAAAAGGTAAGCGTAGGACGTCAGTATTGGGCTGATGGCAATTTAACAGAATCGTCTGCAGTTTCCTTCTGAAGAAATAAAGTTTACCATGAATCCCAGTTTTAGGCACACGGCAGGCCCAACGCGCTTTAGTGGCTTTCAGCTGCTGTCACCAATAGCGAACACAAAACTCGTAGACTTCGAAGGGCCTACCGGCGGTCCTGTTGCCGTTGTTTAGTGTATGATCGATCACTTCAGCTTGAAAGCAGCCGAGTATCTTCAGTATCGCCCCATATCGTGACAAGATTACCGACACAACATACAAAACACGCTGCAATGTGCACTTGCCACTTTGGCTTGGCTTGAATTGGATTGAATCTTCATGCAATAATAGTACGCTTGATGCTTAAAAGATGGTGCCAGATGGCGCACGCTATCATCATCAGTGGCTGGAACGAGCAGATAGCATTATTGCGGCAGTTTTCGGGGGTGCAATAATTACTCGAGGAAAAAAAAAAAAATAGATGAGGGGGGGGGTGCGAGAATAACGTGAGTATACAGACTATTTATGTCATTTTTTAAGCTTAGCTAGCGACCACAATTCTGGAATCGTCATCACAGTAGATTCTTCATCATAGAAAAAGTTGTAAAACAAACCACTTATGCTTCAAGGGCAGCTACTGCGATTTTTAGCTCACTCATCACGTCTTAGACATTTTTTGTTGTTGCACCTTCCTGTCAATTCAAAAGCAGTCATGTAAGACGTGCAAAGAGTCGATCCTTCAACAGCGTAAACACTATGTAATCATGCATGAAATGATTGCTAAAGGATAAAGTCAAGAATTTATGCTGGAATCTCAGGAATTATGATTTAGAAGTGTGCGTGCTGCACATGTTTTCATTTTCACTGAAATGCTTTTGCATTTAGCCATTGAAATAAAAATGTGGAAGCACTTTTCATGTATGTGTGGCTGCTTTTTTCTTCTATTACTGCCCTTGGATCATGTTGGCTACTTTCTGGCTAGTTTTTGCAATATTGTGAATATTGATCTGGCAGCATTGTTGCCTGCGGTATGGCTGCTTTGATAATGCTAATATTGCTGATAATGCTATAAGTAGGGTTGAGTGTTTTTGGTTTAAAGGAATGCTGACAAAATTTTAAAGGTGAGATAACTTGTGGTAGAGATTTTTTGGACACACTTGCATCGTCTACAAAATATTAAGGAATAATGTGGCGTAGAACATATATAAAGTTAGTTTTAAAGTGCATGTCCTGCCACCTGCGTCACGGGTTCGGGTTGGCTGCCATGGCTCTTGCGAGTGCTCTCTCCTAATGGACCTTTTCTGCGGAAAGAGGGAATAGGCTTGCACGGGATCGCAAGTCTACTCCCTATGTCTTTGCCTTGGCAGTGCATTTTTGGGGAGAAGGGGGGGGGTCATGCATATTTGAAAGCACCAATCTGAAAGCACTGTTACTATAGCAATGTGTCTCCAAAGAGGTGTATTGTTGTTCTTGAGATTTATATAATTGACAACACTAGCTGTTACTTCTATACCTAGTTGCAGGGCAGGGTTAGAAGGGGTAGGCTGTGTAGGCCAAGGAGGGTCAAGGATAGCTCAGTGATGTTGGTAACATGCTAGACCTCATGGACGAAGGGCATGATTTCAATCCGTCTTTTAAATGCCAATGCATTTATTAGTCGGGCTATGTTAGGCATCCGGCTTTGTCCACAGAGTCCGTGCGCCGGCAGGTGTTATCTCTTTGCCTCACTCCCTCTGCCATACCAACAACTCAGAGCGCGTGCGCTTATTCTCGCCCCCAGCAACTGAAGGATGTGGTGCAAGAGAGTGTAGGAGAGGGTACGTGCAGTGGTTCGCCGCTCCTTCTCTCACCGTTTGCTATCTCTCCTCCCTGTGCACCACTCTCCCGTCCACTCGCGCCTTACTCTCGACCGTTCTCTGGCTGGACGCCTCTCAAGAACATCCGGAAATGTGTGCTCGAGACGCCGCTGTGAAACGCCAACGCCGAGCTGAAAACGCTGGTGCCTTATCCTCCCGTTCGCTCGCTCCTCACTTTTGCCCGTTCGATGGCTGTGCCGCCTCTCAAGGTGATGGAAGTAGTCGGTGAAGGTGAATGTCTGACAGCAATGGTACTCTCTCTCGGCGCAAGAAATGCACTCCCATTTCCTTACAATTCCCTTCGGGGAGGTGCGGGCATTTTGTCATTTTCCCGTGCTGCCCTTTGTCGTTTTGGTAGCGGCCGGCACAACAGATATTGCCAGAACGAAAATCTCTGAGATCACGAGATGACTTTTTCACGGGAGGAAAAGCACATGTGTCGTGGCATCGTGAAAGAGGCGTATTAACCAAGATGCTTCATTCCTGCTGTAAAATTGTGGCCTAAAATTGTAGTCACTGTGCCATAAGAAAAAGTTTAGGCAGCATAAGATACGCCTCTTTACAGACTATATTCCAGTTTAGCAAGGATATCTTTGACTCAAAAGTGACATCAGAAATGTTCTGCGACTTCTATATACAAAAGCACTTTCAAACTTGGTGTTAGTGAAGTTGACATGAGTCAAGCCCCGCAAGTTGAGGTGTGTAAATATCTACCGGACAATGCCTTTAAAAATGTGGTAGTAGTTGGTTTTATGTAGAGCTGCGCGAATAGCAAAATTTTGCGTCATGACTTCTTGTTGCGCTGCGGATGACGAGACATGGATGATACAGGGACTACAGAACAGGCGGTATGCAAACCTGTCCTGTAGTTGCTCTGTCGTCCTCGTCTCGTTATCTGCTACACAACGAGAAATCATAAACCACCAGCAACTAGCCCAGCCCGATTCATCGCTCTGCTCAAGTTTCGAGTGTGGATCAAATCGAACAATTTTTTAGTATTTCTAGAGTACTTCTAAAATACTTTGAAGCAACATTACAGAAAAAAAAGTTGCAGAGGATCCCTAAGCATTGTCTAAGTTATATTCGAAAAAGCTAGCTCCGCAACGGCGCAACCGGACTTCGTTATTTAGGGCTCATTAGAAATAGCATATGGAATACTTAACATAATGAAATTTTGGTGTGAATCAAATTAAATGGGAAATGCTGTTAAAAATATTTGAAAGTTTGGATGTTTTATGTAATCACATTTGATTAGCCAACAATACATATTACGACTTTTTGGTGTCTTACATAGTTTGTTTAAGTGTTGACATTGAGAGAGCATTTTCTGAACTTAAGTATTAAACAAAAAAGAATGTGCATTTGTTGATGAACGAAATATATGGGAATATTGGGGAATTACAGAACATGAAGACACACAAAGTGTGTGTGTGTTGTCATTTTTTTTGTTTCTGTTCCAGTTAAACTAATAAACAGGCAATGTTTTGTAACTCTTATGTTGTATTATTTTAACGGCAATACTTAAAGCAACAAAAAGCAAGAACACATATTTGCCAAAAAAAATATATACTGAAATTTTTCAAAAGTGGCAGAAGCATCATGAAAAAGAAAATTGGCAAACACTTGTTGGTCTTGGTAGCACAAAGGTCAAAGTTGTCCAGAAGGCTACCTCGAGGGATTCTGTAGAACTGATTTCCAACTAATCAATTGTTGATTATTTACTCTATAAATGTTTGGTCATGCAGATTGGACCCTGTGTTATACAAGGAGTGCAGGACAGATGCAGTTACATACTGCAAAGCCAAGAAAGAATGGCACGATGACCCCACTCGCATGGACCCAGAGAGAGGCCCAATAGTGCTACCTTGTTTGTACCGTTATGCATATCATCCAGATGACAGCGTTCGGGTGAGTACTCCTTGTTTTTGCACTTTCATTTTTCTCTTCTAAGTTTGCAGAATTGTTAATGCTAAGATATTGCCTCAAGGCATATCAAGAATATAAGGACCTTTGCATGTAGCCCTCATATGAACTGTGCAATCATGCTGCTGTACTTGTTTTTGACTGTAAGATTATTTGTGATCTGTGAAGCAGAAGTGAGATGTCTGGAAACTTGCAAAAAGCCTATACACTTTCAGTGATGGAAAGGTTGCACCGATTGCACCATCATGTGCCAAACCATCAAGTTGTGCTAGGATATGCCGAAACACCCATTTCTAAATACAGTATAACCTAGTTTATTCGAAGGCCTTAAGATAGAGAGAAATAGCCTGATTAAGCAGGATTCCCAATTATCTGAAAGGCTGTTAAAGCTAAGAAATCGGCCAGAAAACATGATACATGTGTGGCACACCTTTGTTGTCGTATATTACAGTGAAAGCTGTTGCAAGATCAAAACTCAGGTCACGCGCGGTGCTGTAGTTGTCCGCCGTCGTCGCCGGTGTCTGTAACCACTATTGCGAAATAAGAAAAAAACCTAGTACCAAGGACACCATGGAACTCGAACCCGGGTCCGCTGCGTGCCAGCCCAGTATTCTACCACTGAGCCATACCAGTGCTTGGGACTTGTTAACAAACTTGCCTTAGGCAGGCTTAATGTCGGGAAAGGAATCACGTTAATGTGGTTGTTTTAGAACAGCAAAAAAAGAACGAGGCGTCACAAAATAACAATGTAATGAGTAGGTCGTTCAATGCTCCAACCCAGTACAAAAGCTTTTTCTTGATCACCTATTAACTGTGGTGCATACCCACTTCAGGCATAATTCCTCATCGTCGTCAGCCACTGCTGAACAATTGGCACAAAACTCCTTCCATGTGTTTAGCAGATACAACACTTCTTAGAAGAATGACGAAAAATAGCAGGGCGAATGCTGGTCTACTGCCCAGAAATTATTATTAATGTCGTAGTGGGTACCCAGCAAGTGTGCTTGCAGCAGTTACCCAATGAGTGTTTAGAAAAGGCTTGGAAAGGCCGCTCTTCAAAAAACTTTTTGAAGCACTTCTACGTCGCTTTCAGTGTAGATATTTTGAAATCAGATAGAAAAGTGCTACAGAAACTAAAAATGTAGTTTTCAAAAAACAATTTTTTTTGCTCCATTGAGAATAAATTCGTATGACTTGTAGTTCTTTACAGTTATAGCAGACCCATTCAGTGTTTTCATAAAATTGTGTTGTAACAGTACTTGGATTTCACATACTCCTTTCACAATGACCGAAATTCTCTTCACTATGGCGGTCTGTTGTAATGGGGTTATGCTGTACTGTCAGTAGTTGCTGAATATAGCGCATAGCTGTGTGTCAGCCTTGGAAATGCAGGTCTTTCGATGTAGGCATTTTTTTATGTTAGGTGTTTGATACCGTGTTGTAACTTCACTGCAAGAAAACTTCGGCATTTCTGATCATGGGTTTAATTCTAGCCACGGCAGCTGTCTTTATATAGCAGTGAAATGTAAAAGGGCTTAAAAGGCTTAATATGGTGATTGTCTTGACCTATTAAACTTCAGCATGAGATTGCCTGCATAAAACTTCAAAATCATTTGAAAGAACGCTTTCACGGTTCAGCTGGTCAACGCCCCTCCCCCCCCCCTTTTCCCCATCATTTTCTTTTCAGCTTTCAAAGCAGTGCCTTTATGAAATTCGAAGAGTAATGCGGCAGCGAGCTGTTTCCATTGACCTCCATCCTGAAATTGAAGAGCCGTGCATGCCTGACCTTGCTGGCATGTGCAGTGACCACCTGGGACGTGGGGAGGTAATTGATACTTAGGGTTCAAGAGAGTAGCAGATAGCTGGTGCTGTTTTGGGGCACTTTCCATTTTATCGTGAAAGAAACTTATGCATCTGAACTTGGACACAAGGTAGAGAAACAAACAACTCAAAACACGAACTACGTAGAGAACCAGGTTGTTGTAGAGTTGTCACTTCCTGTGGCCATGCATGGTATACCTTACTTTCTTCGTTAGGAATGCCTACCAAGTGGCTCAAAATTTCATCACACTGCATTTCTTAATTCTTTATCTTTGTGAAGCCAGAGACAGAACACTGAAGTTTACAGAAATATTAGTGCTGATGGCTTCTTAAGAGTACTTGAGGAGAGGCTTTGTGCTTACTGTCAAGCCAAGAGATGTATGCTGCATTTTTAACAAATGTAAGGATTTATTCACAAATTTTGAATTTATGTGGAATTCATTGAAATTACTGTTAATGATATCAATTTTATCAATATATTGGATAGAGTTTATCCTGGATGTATGTTATTCACTATATGAACTAGTTTTAATCTTCCTTTGAAAATCCCATGCTAAAGCATAGCACTTGATTATTTATATATTCAAATTCTGTTCACCTCTGCATTCTTTACATATATATCAAATGCTGAATTGTGCTGCACCCAAACAAATGCTTTCCATAACTAAGCCATGAAATCTATCATCCGAAATATTTATGCTTACAGAAGAGGTCTGTTTTGACAGATGCGCTCGAACAGTGCATTGAATTTGACAATAGGGCATTAGGTGAGGTCCCTGTATCAAATATACCTCTACCGGGGTACGACACAGCTTGACGTCACCGGTGCACGTGCAAGGTGGTGGTTGGCAGAACACTCCCGCCATCGGCACATGTGGAATGCGGCAGTTGGCACAACACTCCCACCGGTGGCTGAGGGGGGGTACCGTCGCTCGGTGCTTGGGGCAAGTTTTTTTTTTCTTTTTGAAAGCTTGAACTTCATTTTACAGTGGCACATTAGCTGTAGTATAAGTCAGAGAACATCTAGGTGTGTGGTAAACTGCGCAATGAAATATTTGCCCCGCTGGCTGGCTGTTTAAATCTCGGAAAAGTGAACACACGGGGTGGGTGGCTTGTGCGAGGAACAGCAGCATCGTCTTCGAAAAATATGCAGTGTTGACTGTGTGTTGTGTGCGTTGAAAGGCATCGACAATATTGGTTCACCTTTAAGGACGGTGAAACTGAGGATATTATGTGTGGTGTGTAAAGTGTGAATAACAAGGTGCCTTGTGTGCGAAAACAAACACTGCCTGTTGTGCGCCGGTGGCAGGAACCGGTTGTCAACGGAACTTCACGATTCGACATTTTAGTCAAGGTAAAATTCATTTGACGTGATCATTTATGAGTGGGTACACCTCAGCATTTGCGTGGCGTGCAGAAAAACAAAAGTGCATGATCTCCAGGTTGAAAGATGTGACTACGCATGAGCTATAAGCGTGTTGTAGCATTGCCGAATCTGCATACTATATCACCACAGCGAATACGCAAACCTAGTAAAGGTATAGCTAATATTATCGGAGACCTGATACATTTTAATGAAAACAGTGGAGGTTCTTGTTTCTCATATACTTTGTATTTTTATGGCTTGTCTTTATGAAGTGACAATGTGCATTAGAAGTTTCTGCATCAGGTCTAAAGGAGCAATGTAGGTATGAAAACACGTTGTAGGTGTCAAATGCAGCGAGGTAACTGTGCAAGAATTCCTGTATATATTAAGTTGGGTTTTTAATCGCATGAATTTTCAGTTGGTTATTGAGAGAGACCGCCGCTGAATTCCGCTTTAATTTTCACGGGGATATGTTAACCTCAGCCTACCACATGGCAAAAAGTGTTTCCTCTTTTTTTTTTTTTTTTTCATTCATCTCCGATCGGAATTTTGCCCAGCGAGTGAGAATATAATTCGTGACTTTGCGCACAGCAGCTCAATACCATGCTGCCACCAATGCTTTACCTCGTTTAAGACTGCATTGTACATGCCGCAATGGAAAATGAGTAAGTTTACATCCATGGAAAACATTCGCTTTCGAAAAAGATAAGATTTTTTTATGGCTGCCATCTACATGTGAGAAGCTCACTGCATCCTAGTCGCGTCTCTCAGTGGTAATTGCAGTTCCTCCATCCATCCATCTATCTGTGGCGAGTAAATATCCACACTATGAGCAGTGACCCTTCCGCGACCCCCTCTTTTAAAAGTCTTGACTTTAGAACATAGCAGTGTAGAAATTTCTGTCGAAGGAATGCAGACACATGCAGCTCCGCTGTGCAGAAAGGTGCCGCCGGCGGAACTTTCTTGCTAACCAGCCCCTGCTCAGAGGGAGGGTATGGTGGGTAGGGTGCCCGCAGTAATGTCGCACTATTTGCAAACAGGGCGAGGTCTATTACAAAGAGTTCCCACAGCAGGGATCTTACACCTCCTTGTGTCACACTGTACAATGTTTTCAAGTGCTTTCATTTCCAAGTGCTTTCATTCCCAAGCACTTTTCAAGTGCTGTCACTTCCTGAAATGAAAGTCTGCATTGCCATTGCCACAGTGGCCCAACAAGAAGTGCGCTGTTCCTGTGCACAATGAAAATTGCCGCTCTCGAGGAAGCCTCACTACACAGATTCTTGCATAAAAAATGTATGCGTACAGTACAGCAAGCGTTGTGGCATTGTGATGGTGGGAGAACAGTAGTCGATGTGCTGCACACAAGTAACTTGACCATGTGTGCTATGTGGCAGTAGATATCGTTTTTCACTGAAGTGGCACCAGTTGTTGTTCTCTGGGAAATCACTGTACATAAGTGAACATATACATGTGTAAAAGTGGCAAGTCTTTCATGCGGCTGCTTTCTTTTTTACTGTCATGGTATTGCAATGCTCCTTATAATTTTTACAGTGCATTATTGCTTGGCCATGCTTGCAAGAGAGCCAGAATCGTTTATGTGCTTTGGAAAAAGGAACGAAAAAACATTAGAGGGTATTGGGTAGGCTCATGTGAAACCTTCCAATATTCAAACTTGCTTTGGTTCAAATTTAAATTGGGAATTCCAAAGTATTCAAAATTAACTAGTAAATTTAATAGTTCACATGTAACCCCCAGTAAAGGTGGTTTTACTGCAGTAAAGCAGTGCTAAGCCGTGAAAACAATTATCTAAGTGTATATTATAGTCTGTGACAACTTAAGAATAAATATAAGCTTCACCCACGAGGCCGCATCACCCTTATTTTCCATGCCTCTGTGCTACAAAAGTAGTTCCCAAACAAGGGCAACAATTTTCCTGCATACAATCATTATCTTGCAATCCTTCATTGATATTGAGATAAAGAAACCAAAGCTCGATAAGAAAACTTGTGAGGGCATGGAGTTTAGCGCCAGCTTATTGCACCCCTTACCGCACTTATCTTGGAGTCCACGAAGAAGCAATGGACATCTCTCAAGGGCGACCTTTCTGTGCGGTACCTATAGTGGTACTAAAACAAACGATGCGACAATAAAGTGGAGTTCAAAATAGAAGAATCCTCCTTTTGCACTTAAAAAAAAAATGACCCAGCGGCATAAATTAAATTTTATAAGGTTGTCCTCAGGCGACATGCTTGGTGCACCTGAGCAACTGATAAAGTAAATGCCGAGTTGCTGCTTCACGCTGCCGAAACGACGGAATGCGAGAAAGCTCTGCCACTTCGGTGCACTTCAAACACTGCAAAATCAGAAACGTCACCATCGAATGAGGCCAGCGAGGATTATGCTGAGTGCGAGTCAATGGAATAGCTTAACACCTGAGGAAAACCGAATGAACGCCTTCTGGTCTAGATGCAGCAGCACGTTGCCTGTTGTCGCAAATGGCGCCATGCTAAATTTGTCATTGGTTCATCATGATAGCAAAGAGCGGCTGCAGTTGGACGCGCATAATACAAATGGACTGCGGTACAGTTTACTTTTTATTCTCAGGTTGTCACCAATTATAGTTCGAACCTAACAGAAAGTTCGATGGACAGATATGAGGTAGCAGCAGAAAGCATAGGACCGGGCTAATTGGTGAAACATGGTAGAAGCATTTGCCCTGCAGTGGGCGTAGTCAGGCCGATAATAATAATAATTATAGCGGAGAACTTTTTGTAAAGGTGGTTTCACTGCAGTGGAGCAGTGCTGAGCCGTGAAAACGCCTATTCAGGAAAAATCTGCATTGCCACGAAGCCCCTCTTCTTGGTTTTATGAACACATTATTCTCACATCCATTCACCATTTTTTTAATGTTTTTATTCTTGTTAAACCAGAGTATATGCTCCAAGTATAGTAAATTTTAAAACTTAGCATATATAACAGGTTATCACTTGTTACCGAAAGTAAAATCACTATTCAAAACTATTCAAAAGTTGATTCTACTTTCTTTGAACCAAAAAAAAAAAGACATTTGCACAGGCCTTGTTTCAATTTTTTAAAAATATTGTGCAAATCAGTTTGGTCATAACAAATGTGCTAATTTTGTTTATTATATGTGGTATATGCTATTCGGATTCAATTTTAAATCATTCAAACCGAATCACTATTTGCTTCAAATTCGCTGCTTTCGAACCGAAATTCACTATTCGCACAAACCTAGTATTAATGCATGTTATAAAATGGCATTGCCTTTATCACTAAAATGCTGTGCGAGTGATGACTAAAGCACTGTCTCACTTGTTATTGTTTTTTTTATTAGCAGGCTGGCTGACCTCCCTGCCTTCTAAAAAATCATCTCTCTCTTATTATTAAGTAAAATGTTTTATGTTTTACAAGTGACAATTCAAAAGTACTATTTCTGTCTGCTTATTCTGGGGTTGTAAAATATGTTGGAGATGTAAAAATAAGCATGTACGTAAATCAAATTGGAGGGAAACAACGCGAAAGACGAGAGACAAGGCAAGGAAGGACACATACAGTGCTCTTGTACATGTCGTTTGTCTGGGTCTCTCGCCTTTTGCGCGCCACGCCGCGGTGGTCTAGTGGCTAAGATACTCGACTGCTGACCCACAGGTCGCGGGATGGCATCCTGGCTGCGGGGGCTGTATTTTCGACGAAGGCGAAAATGCTGTAGGCCCGTGTGCTCAGATTTGGGTGCATGTTAAAGAACTTCAGGTGGTCAAAATTTCTGGAGTCCTCCACTACGGCGTCTCTCATAATCATATGGTGGTTTTGGGACGTTAAACCCCACATATCAATCGTCTTTCACGCTGTTTGCCACCAATATGTCGTACCAACATGCCCAACCAACCACTTATATGCAAGCCGAAATAATGCTGACCTTAAAAATACTGGCAAAACAAACATTTTAGTTAACACTTGTTTACATTTCATTTGTTGATGACTATATATGCCTTATGCTCCTGAGCGGAACTGTGGAGTGATGAGGGACTATATTCTGTAGCCCTTTCTACGAAGCATGGCTGTGTGCTTAGACAATAGATATGAAGCACATGTAAGTGCTGCATGCCAAGATTACTTGGTTCTTAATGGTGCTAGGTTGTGGAGGTGGGAGTAAGTCGTGTGTCCACTGATAAGCCTCAACAGTGGTCTATGGAGAAATATTGGGATGGTGGTTTTTGGACAACGCTCTCCAATCATGTGGAATGGCGACAGTCAAGGCGGAGCACGGACCCCCGGCATGAGTGGTATTCATTCAAACGTGAGCCAGAGACAATGACCCTCTAGAAAGTTCTGGACAGGACTACCCATTACAAATTTCCTTAAGCTTCACTACAATATGAAGACAGTGCATGTCATTCTATCCACAATACTCTGTGAGCACAATGTAGTGGCCAGATAGCTGTCATGCTATTAGTGGTGCTTAAGGGGAGTTGCGAGTCGAAAAACACTTTTAAAGATGATAGTCTTTCTGGGGATACTTTGACGCAGAAATTTTGGTCTGTCTGTCTGTGTGCGTCTTTCCTGCTTCTTTCGGTCACCCGATTCAGTATAAAGGCGAAATTTCAACGCCCTCCTCAATAACCGCCATCTTGATCTGGTTTCTGCGTTCATATGTGCTGATATTGTCAATCAAAATCAAATATTACTTATTGTTTGGCGGAACATCTGTACGAGATCATTAGGTAGTGTGTTACTTTATTTCTGAAATGCATAGATACGCAATTCTGAAGAATGCAGTGCTTATTACAGGCAGCTGGCAATGCGATGCTGTGACTTGAAAAACGAGTGTTTCCTATGGTTCACTAAAACTACATGGTGCTGCTGCCTACCAGTGACTTTGCGTTCTATAAAAACTTCCTTTCTTCAGATTACTGCTAGATGGCGTCCATATCTCAGGCATCCCCTACTCGCCGATTTAGTCGCGCAGAATGTCAAATGTTTTATTCTTTCCCCAGGCAGAAGACTATCGTCTTTCTATGACCTTTGCCAGCAAAGCACTCAGATTCGCCGCCAATTTTTTTTTCCAAAGTTACATATTTTTCGTTATTTGCTTTTACAAGTATAGTTTCTCTACTTTCAGAAAGAAAAAATGGATAATGCAATTAAACTCAAAGTAGGTTAAAATTGCTTTTAACGAGCACAAGGTGACTACTAAAACTAAAAGGAGCTAATTGTCTAGAGTGCACTGAAAATTGTCACCTGTTTACTTGTTATTGCACATCGGAGTTCACTAAAGTAAAGTCACATTCTGAAACAACCATGATTGCCAATCGTTCATGATAGAAAAAACCGTCTCAACATATCTTTTCCGCATAGATGAGCTTTCACTTACAACTTTAAAATGTGTTTTTCTGAAGAATCATTTTTGGGCAACTTCTTGAGTTTAGACATAATGATTTCGATATCTTTGATAGTCCGATTGGGATGAAATCTTGCTCATTTATTCCTCAATATGTGAAGGGTGCAGGTATCTCATTTAAAACTTTATATCACCTGTATAATTATTGCAAACCCAAAGTGAACAGTTACTATGGGCAGAGGATTATAAGCATTCTCTCACTACAATTTTAAAATTGTAATGAGAGAATCTCGTTAAAGTGTCTTTACTAACTTTCTTGATAGTGATTTGAATTCTACAGTTAATGTAGATGACTGTGAGCCATTAATAGTACTTTAATAGGTTAAATACCAAGCTTTTTGAACTTCACTGAAAAACTACTGGACAGATCTTTGATTCTCCTCTGCTATCTGTTTTAGTGGATGATTTTAACATTAATCTGTTACTAGATAACCCCTGCTTTGTAGGCTTAAATGAATTAATCGAAGCTTATGGTGGTATGAATGTAATTAACACACCAGCCAGAATAATAACTAGAATAACTGCTACATCTGAAACAACGTTAGACTTGTGTATCAGAAGCTCCGATTCTGCTGATTTTAAAGTAGCTGCAATTACTATTTACATTAGCGACCATTTTATAATATACTGCTTCTTAACTGGAAATTGTGCAGTCCAAAGTAAGGATGAAGTACTTCTCAGGAGTTACTCCTACCATAATATGAAACTATTTAAGAACCTCATCACTGGAGTTGACTGGGGCCAATCATTGATGAAACTGATCCTAATAAGTCTTGCAACACTTTTATGGAATACCGCATTTACTCGCGTAATGAGCTCACTCATATAATAAATGCACCCGCATCTTCATTCATCAAAATTGGGATTTTTTCCTCCGCGTAATAAACACACCCCCTACATTCATCTGCTGCAGTTCCGCTAATCGACACCTGGTGCCTCCTCACCTGTTGGATCTCTTCCGTTTTTGATTACTTTGACAATCCCCCTTAACCACCTCAGCTCCCCCCCCCCCCCCTTCGCCTGTTGCCATGTGCGTGCATGCCATATTCCTTTTCTTTCTATCTGTAATAAACACATTCCCTACATTCATCTGCTGCAGTCGCCCTAACCAACACCTGGCGCCTCCTCAGATGTTGGCTCTCTTCCGTTTTTTATTAACTTTCCGACCACCCTCAACCATCTCGGCTCGCTCGCCCCTTTCGCCCGTTTCCGTGGGCCTATTGATTTTTTTCTATCTGTGCGCGGCACGTCTCAGGTCTTATCTGTGTGCCACATAGTGGTGCGAGTGTAGAGACATCCCAGCTGATAAGCACACAGGGAGCGAAGGCCACCAAACTGCCCGCGCGCACCAACCAATCGATGCCTGTCCCTTCCTGTGACCCCCCCCCCTTTCTTTTTTAGCCTACTTTCTTTTTCCTTTACTAAAACTAACGCTTCATTCCTTGTTCCCTGTGAGTGCATGCTTTTGGCCCCTCGAGATCATAGCAGATATCACAGCAGATACCCCTGTTGCGGTTACAGGACTGCAAGAAAAGATAGTCGCAAAGCGTTTTTATGGTGTGTGCAGGTGGCCCAGAGACAGCTTGCAGAAGGTACCACCATCAACCACCGAAGATGAGTAAAGTGCTACAAAGAAGCTGTTTCTAAACAGTGAACGCGTATGTAAATTGCGATAGGCTAAGCGACCTAACTTTTTTTTGCATTACCACATTTTTTCCTTCTCCCAAAAAAGTTTTCATAAAATTTACCCCATGTAATAAATACACCCGCCAACTTTGCTTCAGTTTTTCGAGAAAAAAAGTGCGTTCATTACGCGAGTAAATACGGTACTTGACCTCCATATATGAGAAGCGCTTTCCTCTTAAAAGCCGCAAAAAGAAGATATATTATGAGAAGCACTTTCCTCTCAAGAGCCGCAAAAAAAGATACAAATATTCGAAAGCCATGGGTGACAGTCGAATTATACAACAAAATTAAATTAAGAAACAACCTATTTCAAATGTTTTCCCTAGAGATGCAAACAATCTATATAATTATAAAAAATTCCACTATAATCTGAACAAAGATTTGAAGATAGCTAAAACAGAATGCTATATTAGTAAATTTACTTCTCATCCAGGAGATGCATGCCTCCTGTGGGATACAATAAATGAGCGGGTTAATAAGAAAGACAAACACCATATGAATTACGTAAGAGCTTAATATATAAACATAGATCGCGCGCGAACCATGGTGACCAACGGTTAAGCTTGCATATACCAGACATTCTAAATCAATACCCAGCCATACTTCATTTATTGCAGTATGGAACATTATTTAAATCATTAAAAAAATGAGAGAACTCCTAACACAATAAAGCGATGATTCCTTTGATTCTTGAAATCTTGTAACTGTATATGTCTTGTATTTGTGAACTCCTTGTTCATAATGGCCTGTGATTGTTTATAATTGTTTATAACATTACTGTAGATGACATGCTTGACCTAATTTCTCTTTCTGCTAGAATTTATTCTCAATACATTTTTACTGGTTTCACCTGTTGGACATAAGCATGCCCAGTCATGTCATTTCTTTTTCGTATTAATTCACCTTGAGAGCACTCACCGTTAGTACTATTCCCAGCATTCTAGTGAGTGTTGATTATATTTTTGTGCAGTTCACTCGCAATAGCGATGAGAAACTTTTTACTATTTTTTTTAAGTTTATTATGAGTACACGCTCGTGCTACTGATACCACTCTCAGACAGCTGTGTTTATATCCTTGTGCATTGAAATCATAATTTTCATTAATCTTGTGTCCATTGTAGGTGAATATGTACCAGTGCATATTGTATTACAAATGCTTGTTGGTGTTTTTATGTTTAGCTGCCAAGGTGGCATGATTTAGTCAGGCGTTTACTTGGCCTTTAGTCGTGTCCCCTATGGCAAATTGTAACAATTTTGCCTTAAATAAATAAATAAGTTAATAAAGTACATCAACTTTTTCTTTTTAGTGGTATTAGTAAAGCAAAGTTCAGTTGTAAGCATCAGTTTCACTTTTATTGTTTGTGATAAGTAGTTTAAGTATGACTCATTTGGCTATATCATGTGTCACAGGAAATGCAGTGCCTCCAGGACAATCTGGAAAAACTGAGCCGGGATTGTCGGGCAGCAGTGGCCAACTACACTGAGGAGGAAGCTGAACACCTGGAACTTAACTACCCACTCTACCACAGCTGTCAGTCTGTGCTCAAAGACCTGTGCAGTGTAAGGGCCTAGAGTCAAAGAAAGTGGTGCCACACAGCTAAGCCTCCATTTAAAAAGCACCAGTAAACAGTCCCAAACAAGTTCACTCATTCATACAAAACACCCCAAGTTTTCTGCTAGAGGGCCTTAATTAGCAAATATGGAAAGCAGTGCACTGTCATCTTTAATTTATGCCAATAGTAGCTTTGTTGCAACCAGCACTGGCCTTATTGGTAGACTTGCGGTACTACAAATACAGTTTAGGTTTGTGTTTTATTGCATTGGGTAGGTAATTCTGAACCATTCTTTTTAAAGGCATGTGTTAGAATTAGGTAACACAGTCAACTCTCATTAATTCGAACTCGAGGGGACCTCTGAATTTCGTTTGAATTATCAAGAAGTTTGAATTATCTGAAGTTCTCAGATGGATAACCAGGGACATTAAAAAGTTTTTTAAGTGTCTAAGTCCTAACTGCATGCAGTGAACATGAAGCAGAGGTGTAAAGTCCATAAGTTTATTGGCCATTTACTGTTGATCAGACCTTTTAAAGAAATCATGAATTTCTAACTGCTTTATTTCTATAGGTATGTGCCTTCAGCACAAAGCTCTCTATACCAGTTGAGAAGCATCACGGTTTACCATGCGTGTACTTCATTTCAAACATTTGTTTACTTGGAAATCCTTTTCCCTTGAAGGCCTCAGGTGCTTATTTTTCATTTTTGGACTGTTAGGATTATATAAGCACACACATTTTTAAGTAGTAATTGGAAAGCAGATGACATTTTCTGTTATGGACCCGAAAAAAGTATGAATTAGCCAAATGATAGAGTTTTTAATTAAGAGGCTTTTAATATATTGAAATAATAAAGGGCCAACCAAAAAATTGAATTTTGTTTGGATTAACCGAAAGTATGAATCATTGCGAGTCTACTGTACAGTATTTACTTTTCATGCATTACTTTTTCACTCTATCTTTCCAGGGTAGACTGAAAGCAGACATTTTTGGTGTATGTTAAGTGCATTCACTGTGTCTTAGCTAAGATAGAAACTACACTCATTGGGATCACGATTGAGGTTACGTTATAAAGGTAAAACTCAGGATCAAAGTAACTAATTTTGTCCTTTAGAATTGTATGGACACCAGGTGAGGCCTCATGGATGAGCTAAACAGAAAATTCGATACATGGAGGGGAATAGCATCTACTGTATTGAGTACAGATGTTGTGGTCTACATATGAACATGTGTTTTGTGTTCTGCTGATCAAAGGAACTTTTTCTTGTTCTCATTTATGAATCAATAGGGTTTGAACAATATTTTTCAGATTATTCAGTTTAGTTTTGTTCATTATTACAGGACCTACTTTCTAAGGATGTTGACCAGGGAGACCTCCTGGGCTGCCTGGTTCAACACAAGAATGACTTTCGCATGAAAGAGGACCAACGCTGTAGGGCTGCTCTCGAGCATTTCCAGCTGGTGAATAGGCTTTGTATTGCCTGTTTGCACGTGATTGCTTGATCATTCATTTGATTTTATAAAAGACACATATGCATGCTTTTGTAATGCACGCTTTCATTTGGTATTTTTAAAGATTTCATTGAAAGACTACAAGTTCAGCTATGCCTTTAAAGAAGCCTGCCGGAAGGATGCTCAGGCATTCTGTGGAAACTCAAAGTCTGGGTAAGCTTTTCCAGTGACAACCACTGTATACTGTCTTAACTGTGCTACTGAAAATGTAGCAAAGAATAATCTTCGATCTGTGCATGAAAGTCTTTTTCATTTCTTGCTTCATGCAGGTTATAAGACATAAGCAGGACAAGGCATTATAAAATGTCACTTGCCTTCTGCAAACTAAAAATGTAGTGCAACCTTTTTGGTGCTCTTAGGGAAACACCTTTAACTTGTTCCCTGCTCTGTGGTAACATGACTGTTTTTGTAGTTTTTTATTTGTCTTGGGAAAACATATGACATGTATAATATTATGCAGTCACTAGGTGAAAAAAATTTTATGCAGTGCATGAAAAAAATGCAGAATGTTTGTGTTTTTCAGATGCCATAGTCTTCGTAATGAGTTCTATGGGAACCGCAACATTTTATTTGCCAGAATCTAGTGCAAAGAACAAAATCAAGTAGTTTGATATTACCGTAACATAAAAAACCTGAGGTAATAAAAGTATAGAATGTTTCAACCTTGAATAGTCATTATCTACTAGGAATTCTAGTACAAATCAACAATTTGCCTTGAACAATATTTTCTGTACAGAAAGTTTGTTGGAAGCCCTATAGTTAATTGTGGCTCATAAGAATGCAGTTCTTTGATGTCAAGCAGATGGATATGGACTAAGTCTTGCTATGCGTTGTTTTTTGCTTTGTTTTGCTGCTATTTCGTTTTTTCAAATACTGGCATGTATGCATGCTAGCTGGCGGGTGCTGATTGACTTAGGATAATAGAAGAGCCCAAACATATCACATTTTATGGCATGAGTGCTTCATTTGGTATGCTGTGCTTGCTGACAGATGTTCATTGCACCATTACCTCTACTTTCTGCATTCGGCATATTGTGTGTTGTGCTGTTGTTGCGAGTGCAGGATTTGCAATATGCAAAAATAAGTTTTTAGATTAAGGTAGTAAAAAAAAAAGCTTCCAGCTGGATTTTTTACAACTTTCAATAGCAACATAGTACCTAACTTAATCATATCAGTTGTTGATTGGTTGGTTGATTGAAAATTAGAGGTCAGTTTTTTTCGGCTATGAATTTTCAAGGACCCTTCTGAGACAAAGAAGGGTGGTGTGGCGGATGAAATACATGGCTTTTATTTAATTAACCCTTGAAGGGTCGAATTTTTTTGCGAAATGTAGTCTGAAAATGTGTACTTTTCTTTTATTAGGCTGAAATAAATTCTTCAGATGATTCTATTTAATGAAAAAATTGTCTGAATTTTTTTTGGCATAAATGCCAAGTGATAAAAAGAAAAGCAATTTTGTTATGTACACATAGTAAATTCATAGCAATATCAAACATAATCCTAAAAAAAAAAACACTTCTACGATTTTTTATAAATAAAAATTTGTATATAATTTATAAAAAAGACCTTGTTTTGCAGAAATTATTTAGTCAGAGTATATTTTTAATCATGAACTCACCCGGCTTTTGGAACATATTTGCAGAAATTCTGATGGTGTCGGTGTTGTTATCTCTGGTTGTGAGTGAAAAAACATAATCTTCTCCGTGACCAAAAAATCAAGAAAGCTACTTGTATATAAAACCGTTGAACCCCTTCATGAAAGGCATGTTCTAGGCAGCAATTCCTGTCTTTTATATAAGATGTCTCTTATAAGCAGGGTACCATGTATGCATTTTCTTACCAAATCTTATTTTACTGTAGGCACATTGGTGTCTCTTATGCCCATTTGTCTCTTATATCAATGGCTCTTATTAAGGGGTTCGACTGTAATAACAAACTTCAGTACAGGTGAGAATCGAACCCAGGCAGTCTATGTGGCAATCATGTGTTCTGTTGCAAAGACACATCAATGGTCGAAACTGATTCGAAAAAAACAAAAGCAATAAAATGTAATGTAGTAGAAGTTTTCATTAATATTGTGTCTAACGAAAAAAAAAAAAAACGAGGTCTTATGTTTACACTTCTTTCTTTCGTGTAGTAGAAAGAATCTCCTCAACGCACAAAATATTACGTGATAGAAGCGTAGAATTGCGCCAGGCATCAAAACATGAGAAATATGCTATGAGTGGGTGTTAGAAAGGCCCACCCATCGCAGAGCACTCAAATATATATTCGCATGTTGCCTTACGCATTCACAGTGAGCCCCTCTCTGATTTGCAAGAGGAAAAGTTATGGTGTATTTGGCACTTAGCAATTGTACTTGCAATTGTGCAATGGCCATTGTTGCAGGGTTCCCTGACGGCACGGCTGAGGCATGCACCGAGACCGACACTAGGCTAATAATTGAGAAGGTGATTCGCACAGAGCCCGACTATGCTATCACGTTTTATTCTACTCTTGAAGGAGAAGCTCAAGTGTCCAAGTTGTGTAATTGTTGTGTTTGTAACTGTTGTGTAATTTTTGTCACACACAATATATGTAATACCCAGCGATGGCACCTCTGCCATATGCTGCCGCAAGTAATAATAATAATGGAATGAAATGATAATTTTTATTTTTACGACAATATGAACTATTAGGTAACATGCAAGGCTAGACACGAAAATAAGCAGGTTGCGGAGTCGTCATTGCGAACCAACGCAAGGCAAGTTGGCACTCCATACTGCAGATAAATCTGCTCCTCCTCGCTACACATCATGCACGACAAACACGTTTTCGTTAAAAAAACTACGCAGTGCTAAGAACGATCCAAGTCATGACGTGTGCTACAGTGCATCATTCGCGGTAGCCGCTCGCACGTCGCTGCCATCGATCAGAACATGCGCCCACCGCGTGAAAAAATCTGACTACAGTGCCAATAGTTCTCGCGACCGCCATGCAGCCCACCTCTTTGGCGGAGCTTTGAAACCGAGTTCATTCTAGTAACGTTGGGCTCCACAGCATCATGCAGCTTAAGCTATGGCTGGCAACAGATTGGCGTGCATCGGATTGCTGCATTTTCAGCTTCGAGGGTACAGCAGCTGCGCCGTGATGTGTTCGAGGGTCCAAAAAAACCAAAATGACGGCGTTGATAGTGACCACGACCCATAGAGTGTCCTAAAATTCACTAGAGGGGACTCTTAACGTTGTGATTGTTCAGCTACCTTGGGAACGTAGGTAGTACATGGATTTGCTTAGTCTTTGTACTTGTAAGAGGCGAATCGCACTTGTGGCTTCGTTTATTGTGTTTGGGTTTTTTCTTTTTCGAAGGAAAGAACAAACCCTTTTGAACTTTGTGACTGTATTTGAAATGGTAAGCCTAAAAGATTAAAGGGATACTGAACAAAAAAATGAAAAAACTGATTAAACTTTGGAATTTCGCTCAGAAGATGCCACTGTTCTGATAAACAGTTTATTTCCCATAATTTTTAATAGTTGGTTGTATTTCTGATGGATTGTGAGCGCGCGGCGGCTGCTCGCGAGCGCGAGCAGTGACGTCAAACTCACCGAGGTGCATGCAAGATGCACGTGCTCTTGTCCTCCTCTTCCTTTTCTCCAGCTGTCCTTTCACTCCATTCTTTCCCTTCCACGAAAGCACTGGCGCTTTGCCCCAGCTAAAAGCATTGTTCGCTGCTGTGACTGTTCATACCGGTTCTGAGAACCGAAGTGGAAGATGAGGGAGTCGAGAGACGCGAGTGATGGCTGGCATTGTTGGCTTTCCAGTTTCCGGTGAGTTTGTCACCCAACGTCACATCCTCTAGTTTACGGCGCTGCCGCTAGACGCGACAGTTTGTGAAAAACGCATTAAATTCATAGTTTCTGCTTGGAATGAAGGTTGCCTCTATCGATTTTAGGATCCCATCTATCGATTTGGCTGAAAATATTGGGGTCAAATATTCTGTTCAGTATTACTTTAAGGTTGTGAAGTTCAACTGCTGAACATTCGTTCATTTTTTTTTTTCGTGACAAAACAGCTTCAAGCCACACGAATACACACGGAGCCAGAAGTACAAAGATTAGAAAAATTCGTGTACTACCCATCATTCTCATGCTCGCTGAAGCGCCATGCATTGCAGCTCCCACAGACACTAGCGCCAGAGTTCCCTTCAGTGGATATATAAGAAACTCTATGCGATGACCTACTGTACTTCTGACCTGCCTAGCTGGCGGCGTTCAACGGAGCTGCCTGCTCCGGCTCTCGTTCCGAACTTCGCTGCTAAGGGGGTGCTTAAGTTACCTCAGCTGAGCGCCGGTGGCTGCATGGCAATGCATGGGTTGTCGTCTGTTCGAGAAGAGTTTCATCGTGCATTGTGTTTAAATGTGATGTGTATCTTAAATTGTTTTATTTAATTTGACTTTGAGAATCTTCTTTCGCATTTTAGTTGACATTTTAGTGCATTATTTTTCAAGCATAACCGTAAATCAGATACGAACACATGTATCAGCGTGCAAAACTAGAAAGGATGATGACAGACAGTTTTTGTAAAAAGTGCTGATTCCCAAATGTTTATTCAACTTATAATACCAGGTATATCTGTATACAATGGTAGACATGTTACCGTTGGTGTACACTAAGCTGGCCTGCAGTTACTGTGTGGTTGCAAGAATGGGCAACGACTGTGACATTTGACAGTGATCGTGTCTTCGTCCAGCGTGCATGGAAAACAACCACATACAAATACAGTAATTTGCAGATAAATACCTTTGTCCCAAATGACGAATGTAAATTGCAGGTACATTAAGATAAATGAAAGACACTCTTCAACTGCTTTGAAATGAAACAGAACTTACAATCACTTATTCAACTCTTATTAGAAGCACATCCTGTGGTGTAAACGGATAAAAAAAATCCTTTATGTCTGTTGAAAAGGCCGACTCATTTGCATTTTTATGCTACCAAATACTCAACCTGCACAGTATCTTTAAGTAAGAATTAGGTTTTCATTCCTAAAGACAGTTAGCTTATCTTGGAGAATCAGAACTGGAGATATATTGCCAGTCTGCCAGATACCTTCCTCTGGAATATAATAACAAAAAGGCCGCATACAACTTAATGGGTCTTTGCAAAGAAAAATTGCATCTACTGAAATTCTTTGACAATTAACTGATTGCATTTCTGAGCGTTTTAACAGTTTCGTAACTGGTTCATAAGAGCCTCTAAACCGTGCCCAGAGGTCGAGATTTGATTGTGGAGTTGCTCGTGCAAGAACCTAATACAAATTAATTCATGCTTGTGCAAATTTTTCGAAATGATACAAGATAGGTTCTCTCTTGTTTCGGCATTTTATGATACGAGAAAGGTTATCGCTCGTTTTGTTCTTCTATTGCTTCTCTATGTTCTGTTAATCAACTCATTTCTCTTCCTGGCCAAGTGCGCCGCCTCGCCGTACGAGGTGCAAAGGTGGCGAACTCGCGTACCTCTCATATTTAGGCGAACACCACATGATGGAAATTTTCAGAGCCCCACAACGTTCCTTGTAATAATGTTGTGGTTTTGGGTGGTTTTGGGACATAAAACCTCAACGATCATCATAATCAGTGTGCGTGCCTGCTTGCAACTAGGTTTCTTTTGTGGATGACTCGAGTAGATGACAAAAAAAGAAGTGCGACGGCGCATGTTGAGGCCGTGACCAGCCGGTGCAGATGGGGTAAGATGCAGTGCCACCAGGTTCATAGCGGCAGGTGCCTGTATTAGAATGGGCGTGCTGAAGCTCCGCTTGCTGGGCAGGCCAGAAGTGCAGCAGGTTGTGATAGTGACTTTGAGCCTGCGGTTCGTGGTAAAAAGTCCAGAAAATTGGGTGGCAAGCGTTATAAACATCTGGAATTTCAGACTTTTCAATACATTGACTCTGTGGGCAACTTGACAGTGCTACAGATGAGTCCGGAAAATCAGGTATGTCCGTAATTTCGGTCATCCAAGAAATTGGGTGTGAACTCTAGATAATGTGCTGTTTTGATGTCTTTGGTGTTCTTTTGATACTTCAAATATCTCTTTTGTTCATTGGTCATTTATGAACAGCATTGCCTGGGCCTAGTTATCTATTCATTAAAATTGCCTGTTTCATTGCAATCACTGCAGTATCATGCGAAGCTCCTATATTTATCATTTTTTATACTGCATTTACTGTTCATTTCACTAGGATGTTGAACACAGACTGTTCCTGAGAGGAGGTACATGAATTTTAGCAAAACAGGAAAGTTTCTAGTTTTGAAAGAAGTACTTACAGTGTTTGTAGACTCATTCATAGCTGAGTTTCCGCACTTTGGGACTTTGCGGAAAGGTCATAAGTATTAATTGAGTACCACTTGCGCCTGTGATTTAAGCATTTCGCTTGGCGGCAAGGCCCACCTAAAGTTCACATTACTTCATAGAAGCATCATAACTACATTCATGCTGCGGAAAGGCAGCACTAGATCGAAAGTTTCTTTCAAAAGAGCTGCGAAGACTGTGTGATCCGTGCAGAATGCCTATTCATGGGATTTATTGTGGAAGGCCGCTCACCGTAGTGACGTGGGACTGTTGTTTTAAAAAATGTCCCCGAAGTTCGAGGATTCGGAGCGGTATGGGTGCAGACGTAGGAAAACAACTGCTATCTTCGAGGAAATTGCTACAGATGCCAAAAACACAATAGCAGAGGCTCTGAAACCCCGTGTTTTTGCGGTCTCAGTGGGCGGAAGCAACAAAGACGGGTTGCACATGTCTGTTTCAGAAATTTTGGATATGCAACCCCCCCCCCCCCCCCCCCTGCTGAGGTCTCCCAAATTTTCATGTTGCTAGGTTGGTAGGTATGAAGTTTGGTTTGAAGAAAAGAAAAGAGGGAGCAAATTAAGTCACGGTGCTTTGTATATTTGTGTGTGTGTGTATATATATATATATATATATATATATATATATATATATATATATATATATATATATATCGTGAATTTTTGATGCACCTATTCAAGATTGTTGTATTAATTCCAGATCTGAACTGAATAGAAACCTTTTATCTTTTTGGAGCAGTAGGTCTGAGTGTATGCATCATTGCATCTTCAGGTTATATAGAATATCGAGCTTTGTAGATCTACTTGAGTTGCTTTTTGTACAGCGTGGGGTCATTATTGTTGAGCCAAGAGCACATTTATGTGGAAGTGTGGACTTTTGGAACATCTTGTTGGTCCTCACTTGTAACTTCTATGTGGATAGCGCAGTTGCATATCTCAAGATCAAAACTGTTGTGTGGCTTTCAAGAGGCTTTTAAAGGGACACTAAGGAGGAAAATTATTTTTCATGTATTAGTAAAGTACAATTTTGCAATTCCGAAAACCGTGACACGATGCTTAGTGAGTGAGAAAGCGCGTGAAAAGGAAATACGGGTGGCGACGCCACCTTGAGATTCCCACACCAAGCACCATGACGTAAAAAAATTTGAAGCTGTCTACAGGGTCCTACGTAGCTTCCAAGTGATAAAAGTGGAGTACATTTTAGTCTGTGGGTGCCATAGACTGTGCATGCGTAGTTTAAAGGGACCCTGAAACACTTTTTTAAGTAACCATGGAATGGATTCACTAAAAAAGCTTATTGCCTCATGAATTTAATGCCGCAAAAGTAATAAGAATCCATCCAGTACAAGCGGAGTTCCGAATATTTGTCGCACACTGCAATCGCATTCTCACTTCTCTCATCCCGACGAAAGCACTGGAAGCTAAGCACGGAGTGATGGTAGGGGCTAAGAAAATCACATGCACCTCGTGACCTTGAGTGCTTTTTATTTATTTCTTTATTCAAATACGCGGCTTTTTCAGTGTGATTGCGGCCGCACGCATAGACAAGTCTTGGCCTACCGCGATGATCCCTGTAACGACCGAGTGCGCCATGTTCAAATCAACCAATGACTGATAGAAGGCCTTCTGGGAGTGATTTTTGAAACAAGAGAAAGCAATCGATACAAGAGAAAGCAGTCTGTAGCTGACTTTGATAACTTGTTGTGAATTTCAGGTCGCGTGCTGCGCCATAATATATTTGGCTCGCGTGTTCTGGGGAGCTCTACTACCGATCAGCAGTGTTTTTTTTTACCATGCTCAAAAAGTTTTGCAGGACCCCTTAAAAAATTTTATTGAGGCAAAGCAATGAAAATACTGAAAGTTTATTTTGAAATTTCTTGCGTCACGCATAGAGATTCGGGTGCGAAATTCGAAATTAAACTTCAACCTTGATTTTCTCCTCTAATAATGAACCTATGATAATAAAACATATAGTATTACAGTTCTCAGAGGGGAGTTTGCCAATCTAAACCAAGTCATTGTTCCTCTTTAGTATCCTCTTGATGAATGCATGGCTGTCTATTGAACCTTTTGCTATTGAACTTTTTGATTAAATGTTCCGGGCACTATTTCAAAAGTTCTAATTCTCTGGCCTTATATGTAGTTCCTGTAGATCTTGTGCAAACTGCAAGCTCAGTGTTGATACTTTTTATTTTTTGTTCTATAGTTTATTGGCCCCTTTAAAGTCACAAATATTTCATTGTGCAGCTGTAAACTGTTTTAAGTGTAAAGTAATGGGTTGTGGCTGCTTTATTCAATGCAGTGCTGATGTTGTGAGCTGTCTTAGCAAGTTGGTGCTGGATGATGTCACTGATGAGAAGACACCGCGAGTCTCTTCACGTTGCAGGCAGCAGCTGCGAGTCGAACTTTTCCAAAGGGTTAGTAGTTCTATTGAGGTGTTGTGTGTCCTGGGAATCACAAGCTTCCTGCAATCATCAAGAGAGTTCAGATATTTTGTTGTTTACTGTTTAGTCTATTGCACTGCTTAGTCTATAAGGATGTATGTGTGGCACCATAAATTCAGCAATTCTGATTACTACAGCTTTTTCTGCATGTGGTAGGTTCATCAGTATCATTATCATTAGGAGTGTGTGAATTTTCTAAATATTGAATGTTTTTCTAATAGTGTTTACTATTTGATTCGCATTGGAATTTTTACTGTTTGAACTATTCGAACTTCTTGAAGACAGATACAGTGAATGTCCGATTGGCAGTGGCTCTGTCAGATTTTCAATATGCTTCACGCTATTGCATTCTAGTTATTGCGGCGAAGCTGCCTTATAGGCTCTACTATGGTCGCGAATGTATTGACTCAAGAAAAAAAACACTGGTTCTAACATGGAGTTGATTGATGTGGCAGACGTGAGAGCTCAATAATGCTATTTTGAACCTGTAGTTTGGGCAGAAAGTCCAAAAAATCAGACGTCGAAGATTTTTGCATTGAAACTTAAGATGTTGAAAGTTCAGATGTTCTTATATATTGACTTCTATGAGGCAGATTCAGAAATGTGTACTTAAAGGGAGCACACCTTTGTCCTTCAAGTCGGTTGGTCTTCCATAGAAGATCAAACAGGAGAAGGGGCTGAGGAAATAGCATATTTCACTTCACGTGTAAGGTGTTGGCTACACTTTGGTTGCACTGAATCTTGCTCGTAAATACAACTCTGCTTCTCTATATTGCCTGAATCTTGGTGAGACAACAATGAACTATTCTGATCAGACAACTGAGACACATAGGAGTGAATCTCCTGCGCTGTGAAACAATGCCAACTACCCCGTGCAGCATTAATAAAGGTTCTTTATGACTATGTATTAGTATCTAGTTTGGTGGCATAGCATTATTAAATCGAGTAAATGTGGTTGCTAAATGTCGTGTTATAGGAAAGTAATACTCGGTGCATTTACAGGTTTTTGTAGGACAGCAGTCTTTTACTTAATTCATCGCATTAATTAGAGTGAGCAATAACTGTATGTACTTGAACATAACACTTTTGTTTCATAAAAATTGTTAGTATTACTTTTTAAAGAAGAGTTACTACAGAAGAGTTACTACAGAGCATGTATATTATACGTTACTGTGGTCAGGATTTATTAACAATTCCACCCATGGCAAAGGCCTGTGAAATTTTGCAAAGACTATGAAAAGTTGTTAGAATATATATATATATATATATATATATATATATATATAGTACATTGTGTCATCTGGGTCCGAAGTTCATGTTAAAGAACTTTTCAAATAAGATACGGAGCCTTCCATTATGGCAGGTTTCTTTAAACATAGAGAATGCATCAGACACAAAGGACCAGTTAATTATCAAACTTTACTGCCCACAAAACAGCACCACAGTTTTGTCCATGGAGCATGACATCATTTACTTTACCATATAACATAGGCCTAGGTTGTATCGAAAGCGCAAAGTCACTAGAGCAGCTTTTTTCAGTAGTGAAAAAACAAACGCTTGGAATATGAAAACATCTTGCTTTTCCATGTATTAGCTAAACCATTGCAGAAATACTTGATTTTATTACAAATATGAACAGCGTTGTGGGTTAACGTGGTGCAGCATGGCATCAAGTGTTAGTGCTGATGTTGGGTGCAAGCTGCTCTGGGAAAAAAAAATGCAAGTGCATGGGTAAACATGTTCTTGATGGCGTTTGTCCTCTCCATTTTCTGGCATTGTTTCTAGTGTCTTCTTTGATACAGAGAACCACTGTTGCAATATATTGGTCATTGAGGGTGAGTTATCTGCTGTAAAATCATGAACAAGCCCATTCTTTTAGCAAGTCTTAAGTACTTGCGTAAGGAGGGGTAGTGCGCAGTTTCCAAGTGGCACTGAAATTCAAGTAGGCTACACCAAAGTATTCTTAAAAAAAAAAAAAAAGGAGAGGGGGGGTGCATGTGTACGATTTCGGAAGTCTTTGCAATGTAATTTACGATTTGGCGCATTACGACTGCTCACAAACACAGGAAGTGCAATGGCAATGTGATCAAACCACAAGAAGCATGGCATGGAAGCACTCTCTACAATTATTCAATGCAACAGCTCTAAGCAACACAGACCTTGGAGGCCTTGCTTTGCTGATTACATTGTCATAAGTACCATTGTTTAGATCTCAAAGGCTATGTTTAAGCTCGCAAGACCCTGAAAAAAATCATTGTGGGTGTTTGGCATAAAGTTCAAGATGTGATTGTCTTGTAAGCAAAATATCCACTTTTAACGAATTACAGGTGCAGGAGCTTAGACGTCAGGCTGCTAAGCAGGATTGGATGGGATTCAGACAGGCTAGTGATGCAAGGACCCATTGCATGATTGGGATTGAAGCAAGGAGTGGAGGAGAGGGGGGGAGAGCTCTTCCTGAACATGAAAATTTTAAATTAGCTGTGAAATTAGAGGAAATTGCACGTTACACTAACTTTATTGAGAAATGTTCCTACAAAGGTGCTGCAGTAAAACTGCTCTGTGATCGGATCAAGATTTTTCAGTTTGAAATGATAAATTGCTTTCTGTTAATTTTTATTGTCATTCCTTGCACTAGTATGAAGTATGTCCTAATGCTTATATGTAATTCTTATGTATTACAGAGAAATGGTTTTTCATCACATCTTTCATCAAAATCTAATATCGAAATTTCATATATTTTTCTCTTGTCTCAAATGTTTGTCTCTCGTATTGTCCATGACAAGCCATAGAAACGGAGCCATTAGGTACAAATTGTTGCCGAGTGACAACTGAAGTAGACTCTACTATGTATGTCATCATATCAACTTGTGGCAACTTTAGGGTCTCAACAATAAATAATAAAGTGTGCTAAGCTTTGTGCTTTTTATTCATTTCAGGAAGAAAATATCAAGCTAGATCCAAAACTGGATGCTGCTTGTGCTTCTGACCAACGTAGTCTGTGCAGCAATGTTCACCCTGGTGAAGGCGCTGTGAGTTCTAAATGTTGGCTATGCTATTCATCATCATTATCATCATCAGCCTGACTGCGCCTACTGCAGGGCAAAGGTCTCTCCCATGATCTGCTAATGAACCCAGTCCTGTGCTTTTTGCTGCCTCGTTATACCACCAAACTTCTTGATCTTATCTGCCCACCTTATTTTTTGTCTCCCTCTCCAGGGGCCCAATGATTGCGCCAATTTGATACAATTTCCCATTTTTGCGTCATGCAGTGCCAAAAACATGAAATTTGTCGAAATTGCGCCACGCTGCGCCAAAGTGCCCGACCTGCTTGAAAATTTTTTTCAGTTGCGCTAATTTTCATGAAAAATGGAGACTACGTTTGCCACCTATAGTTTGCATCATCGATCAATACAGGGATTCAGGCCTGCAGACTAACCCTAAAGCACAGTGTAAGATGTATACTAATTATAATTAGCCCAGGACACTCGCGAAGGGCAATCGCCCAGCCACGTGCTCATAGGTCCGCTGACTGCTGTGGCTATGTATCGACAGGACGATGCAAGTTAAGACAAAAATGCATTGCAGTTGCCGGCAACACGCAGGAAATGTGAATTTTCTAGTCAGTAAACGTGGCTGTGGCATGTTAGGATCTAAAACTGAAAGCGTATGCCGCTGTTGCTACGCACGAACTTGACAGGCTGTGAACGCCGGCGTCCCTGACGGCCACGTTAGTTGCCATAGCAACGGCATATGTGATAGATATACGGTGCCGTCACCGGGTGAATGGGCACGGTGACAGTACTGCGCTTTATCTGGTCAAACGTGCCTGGCAGGCGAGACGAGAAGTTGTGCTCTAAACCTAACCCTATCGTGATAAGGGGGGGGGGGAGCGAGGGGGCTATAGTGGTTCGAAAATTTCTTGGCTTTGTTCAAACCCAAGCAGAATGCCACTCAAGTTACCTTTGCCGCACTACACTGATGGCCTGCGCAAAAGTGTTTTGAGATTTGGAAGGGGCTGTCAGCACTAGTCACGAACTACAGCACAGTTTGTTCAGTTACTGATGCGTGTGTATGCCGCATAGTTATTAGTACTAGTATGATTGCTGAGTTTTTACAGGCAATCGTTTGGAGTACTGTGTAGCATTCCTGCAGCCCTAAAAAATCAAACAGAACTGTGTGTCAGTTTTTTTTTTTTTTTTTCACCCACCCTACTCCTCAGTTTTACGAGTCTCTTGAATTTCAAGGTCGCCAGTTTGGCAGATCCACACTTGAAACTTGAATCCTCAAAGTAAAAGGATTTGTTAGGCATGGCAAATGTTAATGTGGACTTTATCATTGTTTGCTAAGTGGGGTATTTCAAAATATTACTATAATTGAAATAGCAGGGCTCATATTCACTCTGCATGGTTTAGGGGATGTTGAATGGTTTGTACATATTTTCTTTTCTAAATATAAGTCTTTTTTTTATACTACTGTAAATTTGGTCTTTCATGATAAAAAATGAATAGTTTTTCCCCTGTAACCTGCTCCAAATTTGCATTTTAGTGCTTCTTAAGTAACATTTTGCTGCTCCAAACCAATTTTCGGCTGTTTCACCCCTGCCTCTCATACATTTGCCTTCTCTTGGAATCTAGCCGCTTATCCTTAATGATTAGCAGTTATCCTGCCTACGTGCTACATGCCCAGCCCATGTACATTTCTTCTTAGTTCAAACTATGATACTCCGGACCCACTCTGCTCTCTTTGTGTCTCTTGAGGTTATACGTTGGCTTGTGCGAATATTCGGACAAACATTGAAGTATTCAAATTTGCTTTGATTCGAATTCAAATTATAAGTAATTTTGAAGTATTTGAAACAAAGAAATAAATGTATATTAGTCCGCATGTAACCCCCTCCAAAGGTGGTTTCACTGCAGTGAAGAAATGCTAAGCCATGAAAACATCTATTTTTAATGTATGCTAGGTTGTGTGTGACTCCTTTGTAAAGGTTGTTTTACTGTAGTAAAGAAGTGCTAAACCATGAAAACACCTGTCCAGGGGAAATATACACTGCCGCAAAGTACCGCAAAGTACCACTTCAAGGTTAAATGAACATATCACCCTCATCGATTCATCACTTCTTAAGTTCATATTCTTGCTATACCGGCTTATATGCTCTAAGTATAGTAAATTTTGAAACGTAACGTATTTTGCAAGTTATCACTTGCCTAATACTGTAAGTCCAGTCCTGCTACCATTCAAAGTAATTTCTACTTCCTTTGAAACAAAAAGAATGGCATTTGTACAGGCCTTGTTTCAACTTAAAAAAAAACTATGCAGGTTAGTTGGGTCACGACAAATATGTTCATTTGGATCATTTTGTGTGATATATCACTTCAAATTCGGTTCGTAATTATGCAAACCAAATCACTATTTGCTTCGAATTCCTTCAAACCTCAAATTCACTATTCGCACGAGCCTAGTTACACCTATCATTTTCTTTTTCATCGCTTGCTGCGTCATCCTCAATTTGAGTTGAACCCTCTTTGTAAGCCTCCAGGTTTCTGCTCCATACCGTTAAGATGCAGCTGCTATGTACCTTCCTCTTAAGGGATAGTGGTAGACTACGGGTCATGATTTGAAAATGCTTGCCAAATGCACTCCACCCCATCCTTGTTCTTCTAGGTATTTTGCTCCCATAGTTCGGCTCCACGGTTACTACCTGTCCTAAGTATACATATTCCTTTTACAACTTCCAGTGTCTCGCCACCTATCGCAAAGTGCTGTGCTCTGCAGAGACCTTTGCAGATTACTTTAGTTTTCTTGATAATAATTTTCACATGTATTTTTCTGCTTTCCTTATCTAGTTTAGTAATCATGAGCTCTAATTTGTTCCCTGAGTTACTCGTCAATGCAATGTCATCAGTGAATCGCAGTTTACCAAGATGCTCTCCACTAATTCTTATCCCCGACTCTTTTCAATCTAGGACTCTGAAAAGCTCTTGTAAACACTCGGTGAATACCATTGGAGAGATGGTGTGTCCCTGCCTGACACCCTTCATTATTGGGATTCTGTCGCTTTTTTTGTGGAGGACTATGGTGGCTGTGGATTCGCTATAGATTCCTTCTAGTATGTTTATACATGCATGCTAGTCAAGAAAGACTTTATTAATAAATTAACTTAGACGCATTCGCCCTGCCGTGGTGGTCTAGTGGCTAAGGTACTCGGCTGCTGACCCGCAAGTCACGGTATCGAATCCCGGCTTGGGCAGCTGCATTTTCGATGGAGGCGAAAATGCTGTAGGCCTGTGTACTCAGATGTGGGTCACGTTAAAGAACCCCAGGTGGTAGAAATTTCCGGAGCCCTTGACTACGGCATCTCTCATAATCGTGTGGTGGTTTTAGGGCGTTAAACCCCACATATCAATCAACTAGATGCATTTTCAGGCATCAATATGATTGAAGTGCTTATTTGTCCCTTATTATATATGCTGAATACATGCATTGCTGAGTGTGGCAATAACGATGCTCTGGTGCTGTGAAGCTGGTAGTTCCGTTTTAGCTGTGCTACAAATGTAACACTCTTGGTGGCAATTTACCAAGACCTGAGAATATGCATTGTGAACTTCTTCTTGCTAGAGCTTTTATCTCGCCAACCGATAATTTTTTATTAGGTATACAAATTGGGTGCAAAACTATCGTGTAGTACAATTACATGGCTAGCATTATTTTGATACATCACTTTGCTGTAGTGGCTTGGCAACAGTGGCATTCTGGCTAGTGCAAAGTCATGGATTTGTTTTTGTGCATCAGTGCTTGTGTTTTTAATGTGCAGTACATGGTACTGCTGTTGTTTTAAGATTGTAAGTGTATTTAAGGTGTTCTAATGGTAAAAATAAAATTTAATGACACCCGCAAGAGCACTTGCATTGCCTAAGTATTACTTTGGTATGTTAAATCCTACCACTCTGTCTTCTACAAAAATTTGTCTGTTTTTGTTTACCTCTTTCTCAGATGCTTGAATGCCTGAAGGAACATAAGAATAAGCTCACCCGAGAATGCCACATTGCAATATTCCAGCGAGAACGTTTGGAAGCAGAAAGTGTTGGCTTGGACTACAGCCTCACATTGGCATGCAAATTAGCACTGCGCCAATTCTGTCCAGAGGTATGGCACATTTGTACATAATTGCACATATTTAGTTTCTTGAACTAAAGCATACTATGTAAATCTTAAAAAACTACTTTAGTAGACATTATCAACCTCCAAGAGTTCAATGAAATATCTTCACTGTATAGCTGTTTTTTTGCTGTGGGGATCGAGGTGCCATCTTGAGCCTCATCCCTCAGTTCTTACATTGTGAGAGCAATTTGCTGCTTGATCTCTCGAAATTGCCAGGAAAGAGCAGCACAGTTTGTGCACAAAAGCAGCAGTTCCCAGAAATTGAGCTGTATAGTCTTGATGTGCCCATGCACAAGGCAATTTTTGATGATTAGCAGAAGTGTTACCGTATTTACTCAATTCTACCGCGCCCTCGATCCAGCCAAAACACTTCATGATTTTCGTCACACTGTCCATTATTAAATTCTTTATTTTACTAGAAAGAATGAGCCAATGGTCGCACCATGTCATGCTGACGCCATGAGGAGCAGGCGACATGCTGCCTACGTGTCACTTCTGTGTTGCAGTGAAGAAGTCTTGTTTTTTGCAGGTGTGCATTTCAGTTGATTATGACAAGTTTTGTTTTACCGGTGGCAGCAGCGAGGCCCAGCATTCCCCCTCGTTTGCAGCGAAATTGTAGCCTGATATTGCTGGAAAACATAACGCTTGGAGCGGCAAACTAGCCAGCTCAGCAAACGACCAGCCCTGATTACTTTGAATATTTTCAAGTTTCTTGCATCCAACTTTTGCAGCAAAAGCTGTTATACCACAACTCGGGTCTCGCGCAGCACCGTAGTTGTCTGCCGCCGCCGGTGTCCGTAATCACATCACGTGAAATTTGGAAAAAAAATTTAGTACCATTGACACAGTGCGGCTTTAACCCGGGTCCGCTGGGTGCCAGCCCCGTATTCTACCACTGAGCCACGTCGGTTCTTGGCACTTGTTGGCAAACTTGCCTTAGCACTTTCCTGTCCGCAGGAAAATAAGGACTTTTTTGGTGGTCTAGTAAACAATTTTTTTTACTGCTACACCAAATGCTTTATAATATAATGTATAGATCAATTTGTAGCAGAAAGATTGTGCTTTCTAATGGTATTATTTTCAAACAAACATTTCTTCAAATTTTTTGTGGAAAAATATTTAATGAAAATATTTGTAAGAAAAACGAGAAAACTCCGTAAAACCATGGATGCTGCTTTGCACCAACGCACCCTAAAAAAATTTCCAAGTATACATTTTAAAGAATGCTATATACAACATTACTGCAAATACAAACTTTCTATCTGTACCAGTCAATTTTATACAAAAAAATGTTAGTAATAGTGGCTCTTACGAAGCGCCATGCGGCACTGCGGAGCGCAATGCCGACGTAAACACCCGGCCGTCTTCTCGCGCAAAACTCCACTTTTTTGTATGTTCCGTTAATTTGAATACCCGCTTAATTCGAATATTTCTCACGGTCCAAGTGACTTCAAATTAATGAGTTATTACTGTGCATCGTTTCTCATTCACGATACGTTGTTTCTAACTCAGTACAGTACAATTATTTTCACAAAGACATAATAAATACTTTCCAGAGAAAAACGGGTGCTTATTTTCAAGCTTTAAAAAAAAATATTCATTACATTCAGATGCCGAATCTGGAACAGAATGGCAGAGCAATGATACCCTGGTGAACTTTGTCCAGTTTACTTTGTCGAGACTTCCATCTCATGGTCACGAAAGTTATTTGTGCTAAGTTTTCATACAAAAAAAAGGAAGCAAGTTTTAATCAGATATAATCTCATATCACTTTGTTTTACATGCAGAAAACAAGTGTCTCGAATCGCAATAACGTGATCCAAGCGAAGCAGATCCGAAGCCTGTACTTCCTATTAGCCCCAGATTCCCCTCTAGGTATTACGGTATCAAACTCCATGGCCAGGAGTAAGTGGTGTACACAAGTAGCTCGCTGTTATTACGCTGGCGCATGCATGGCGCGTGTTTGAGTTGTTGAATGCAGCGTGCTGAGTAACAAGGGGTCACCAGTTCCAGTCCCCGTTCGGGTGCTTGGGAATTTTTCCTTCTGATTTGTTTTTATTTGTGCCTTTTTTTATATATATATCCTGCCACAGTGGTCTAGTGGTTATTGTGCTTGACTGCTGACCTGCAGGTCGCGGAATTGAATCCTGGCCGTGGCGGCTGCATTTTCAATGGAGGCGAAAATGCGTGAAGGCTGTGTTGTTTGACATCGGTGAACAGTAAAAAACCCCAGATGGCCGAAAATTCAGTAGCCCTCCACTGCGGCGTCTCTCGTTGTCAATAATTATATATGTGTGTGTGTGGGTGCGTGCATATACATATTCGGGACATAACGAGCATGGCAATGGTGAAAATCAGCCGAGAGTGTCCATGTAATTGCTATCGCAATAAAAAACATGCCTGCCCTACCTCTATCAAATGGAAGTAAAGCAGATCTTACCCCCGCAAAGCTGCTACTGTCAGTCATCACATGTGCTGAAAGAAGTAAAGCAGCTTGGCTATTCTTGCAGGTTGAACATACCCGGGCCCTTCAATGCTTGGCAAACCATCGCAAAGAACCAACAATGGATGTTCGGTGCCGTACCATGGTGCAACGCCGTTTGGTGGAACAAAACACTGACTATAGGCTCAATGCCCAGTTGCAGCATGCCTGTCGCATGGACATTGCCAAGTTCTGCTCAGCCATTGTGCTTGACAAAGCAGCAGAAAGCACTGAGCTGCAGGGAAAGGTTGTTTTTGTTTATATACTTACTTACTTTAAAATACAAATGAAAGAAAGGGAAGAAGCTTTAAGAAAGGCAATTTTTCAGGTTTGTGTTGAGCCATTGAATACTAGCTTCAGGCCCTTATTTAAGGGGCAAAGCATCTTTGAGTCTCAGCTTGTCGGCCTGTCATGTTGTCATCACGGTCCCTCGTACACGGGTATGCGCCACAAATATTGGGTAAATCTCACTACTTGCTGCTTGTCTGTACCATGCATATTATGAGTGGAAGGTTTGTCCTCACTGTCCAAACAATTATATTTGGCTTAGCTGTGGTTTCAGAATCCCCAATGAAATTGACTGAGGTACTCAAGTTTCTCATCTAAAACCAGAGACACAAATGTGAGTCCTTCAGTAAAGTAATTTGAAGCATATCTGCAAAGGTGATGGTGCTTTACTTGCCACCAGTCCACTAAAAGTGAAGAATGTGACAGTGCGCCCTACAAATAGCCGACGACGTTAATGGAGCTGAAACATGCTCGAGGGAACTGACGCTGGTCATGTAGGGAAAAAGAATAAGCAGAAAAAGAAGCACTTTCGGGTAAGCTGTATTTCAATACATTTCTTTGCCGGTGTTAGTGGACCTAAAACACTGTTCTCTAAATGCCCAGTTTCAGGCTTGCCATCACTAATGCCTCATGAAAGAAATTTCTCTCAGAACAATGTGCTGAATTACCTCGGTCAGGCCCTTCTTTTTCGGCTGTCTCTTTCTTTGTCTCCCACTGCCCATTAACAATGATTTCGCTTTGGAAAATACGGGTGCACACTACATGTTTCGCCCCTCCCCAGGATTCACGCTAGTGAAACTGCGAAATTCTTCCCTACATGCTCTGCCTCTCTCCAGTTTTTCTTTTTCTTTCCTGAATTGGGGTGTGGGGGGTGCTCTTCATGCCATTGTCACTAATATGATGCATGTCCAGATAACCAAAAACAGCTGACTAATGGCTCCTGTACAGCTTTCTTTTTTTTTTTCTGATAGCATCTTCATGTCCAGTTTTTTCTTTATTTTTTTAATGTAGTTTTCTCAATCCTACTAATTTTTCTCATCATTCTGGCAGTCTAGCAGTAGCAGTATCTTTTATTTGTTTATAACAAGCATTGTGTAGAACTTAGGAAGTAGTTCACTACATGAGCCATTTTTAATTTAGTGAATATATTGCTTGCCTGCATATGGATTCTGCAATAAATCTTTAAAAAGTTATGATGCCTTGTGATTAATTAATATGCAGAACTTGTAGAGAAAACTTCATGGGGTTGCTCCAGAATAAGAATAGCACTGGTACATCCTCTGCAATAAGTGATGACAATGTGATGTGCATTTTTGGATGAAAAAGAGCGCTTGAAACCACATGCACTTATAAATAATTTAATTGTCATAGATTGACCACCACTGGGTTCATCTTACGCTAAGTAGTCGCAGAACTTGATGCTATCACTCGAGCATATTTGATTACCCACTTTTTCTCTGCCATTTATTTGTGACAGAGTTTTTGCTTAAGCTAATTAGTCAGACAAACTGGTATAGTTATTAAGGCATGAAAAAAATGGGGGGAGGAAGTGAGAAACATTGGCAGGGCATGTTCCTCTATTTCCATTTTTTCATGCCTTAATAATTATACCCTAATTTCCACACTATCGCACGTAAAATTATTAGGGATGGGCGAATAGTGGATTTGACGTTCGAAGCGAATTCGAAGCGAACAATGATTTGGTCAAAAAATTTTGAATCGAATAGTTCGAATAGTGTACATCACATATTATAAAGAAAAATTAGCATTTTTTTATGGCCCGACTAATTTACACAATTTTTTTAAAGGAATTAGAACTCATGTAGGCACAGCATTTTGTGAAATTGAAAATTGTTAATAGTTGAATTTTATTCACAAATCTCACTTTTTTTACTGCACTCGCAAGTTTTCATGCAAAAATACCAGCTGCTCCACATGGTCTGGGAGCAGCAGTTCCCGCCGGCTGCTGACAACATTCCCTGCTGTTCAAAACAGCCTCTCACTCCTTGCCTGTGTGGCAGGAATTGAGAGGTACTTTTGTGCCACCTTGGCCAGTGCTGGGTACAGTCGGCTGCCATGGGTCTTCCACCACTCCAAAGGGTTTTCTGACCGGGGAAGCACAGGGGCGCCCAAGTATTCTGCCACTTGAGAAGGGACACTTTCGTGCGCGTTGTATTGCAGTACATTAGAGGTTAATGAAGAAAAAACACTCCAAAGAGTGTTAGCTTGGGGCTTCTCCATGGCTGGGCAGACAGGTGCCTGGGAACATTCATTTTGGGCTTGCATTAGCTCATTTGCTGCAGCTGCAAGTGCGGCTTTTGCCCAATTTTTTTGGCTGTCTTCAGTGTAGCAAATTTCTTTGTAGCGAGGGTCAACTAGCATTGCATTTGTCGGCACATTTGCCATTTTCAAGCCAGGGAACCTTGTGGCAAGACTTCGCAGAAAGCTCCTTGCAAATGATGCTGCTTCCTCACCTTGAGACTTATGCTTATGTAGCACCACTTGCGCACAATGCACGAGGAGTATCACTTGGGAAAGTGTGGGATAGCGGTCCGCGCACAGCTCTGTCGTTGCTTGGTCCAGAGGCTGCAACACTTTTACAGCCGCAGCCATTAATTTCCATTCTCTGGAGCTTAAGTTGTCCACATCCGAATCGCAAAGTTCAACTGAAATTGGGGCACGAAGTTCGACGAGTGTCTCCATCATGGCATACTCGCTGTTCCAGCGTGTGGGAACGTCTTGAATCACTTCATGCTGGGCCATGTGCATGTCCTTTTGTATGTCCATAAGCCGTGCACGTGCGCTTCTTTTGTAGCGACCTACAATCGATCGACACTTCGCACAAAGCTGGGAAAAACTTGCCACTTCTCTTTTGGCGTCATTTATGCACAGCTGCAGGGTATGTGCAAAGTAGAGGAGTCCTGACCAGTTGGATTTGGCAACAGCTGATACGAAGTTCCTGCCGTTGTCGGTAATGACAAAAGTCGGGATGTTGTCGGGCAGACCCCACTCTTCGATCACGTCTCGGAGAAACTGAACTATATTTTCTCCAGTATGCTCCTGCGGCATTGGTTTGCAGGCGAGGGCATAAGCGTGCTGCCTAAAGTCGCGATCCATCATGTGGGCCGTAACACACACGTAGCTGTCGCCGGCCCTCGATGTCCACCCATCCGTTGTTAAAGTGAATCACTCAGCACCACCGTCGTCAAATACGGCCCTGATGTGCTTCTTCAGTTCATTTTTTTTGGCCGCGTATAAATCCGGAATGACCGTTCGTGAAAAGGTCTTCCGCGATGGAACGACGTACTCTGGAATTGCACATCGCATCATCTCGATGAAGCTCGGTTCCTCGACCACGCTGTATGGCTGCAGGCCGCAGGCAATGAACGCTGCAATCTTCTTAGTCATCTCTTGCGCTTTTACCGATGACAGCTGAAGTGTAGGCTTAAACAAGCTGGTCACGGTCAGCTGCGATGGCAGCCCCTTTGGTTCACTTTTCTTTTTCGGAAAACTGTAAAGCTGATGCAATTCCGAGTACTCTTTGTACTTGCCTGGGTGTCTCTTCAAGTGGGTGACAAGCGTCGTCGTGGTACCAGTAGGCGTCTTCAAAACAACTCCGCACGTCTCGCACTGCGCTTCGCCTCCAGCAGGCATTTTCAGGAAAAAGTCCCATATCGGATTCGTGTACGCGCTTTAGGGCGCGGTCGACACCATCTTCAACTGTGGAGGCAGCGGTTACCGAGGGCGGGATAAGCCAACACGTGTAAGCGTGGATGAAGCTCGAGGAACACAAAGAAAGAAAGAAAGCAAAAAAATTGTCTACAGCAATGCGGGGCAGCTTACGCAATGAGCTTTTGGGTGACGGTTGCCGTGAGCATGGCAGCGATGACGTATTTCCGGCTCCTCAATGCATGGCCTTGGAGATTAACGGATGTATGGCAGCCATGACATGTAAAGCATAGCCTCAGAGATTTGTATTTGTACCGGCCGTCCGTGGCTTTTGCGGCCTATTCAAAAGCGCCGAATAATTCGAAAATACCGAATACCTGAATTCGTATCGAAGCGAATAACGAATAGGGCAGAATTCGATCGAATATTCACAACACCGAATATTCGCCCATCCCTAAAAATTATGCTTGCATGCAATCCAAGATCAACACATTCAATAGAGCCTGTAGTGACACGTATCCCGAAGGAGTACGGCCACTAGCATGGGTCCGGTCTTAGCGAGCCGCAGAGCACGCGTTAACCGTCGTCAGGGCGAGAACACTGTACTGCTCAAGGTCACAACACTTTATTGTCTGTGGCAACACCAAACACCAAAACGCAGTACAGCCCGTTGCAAAGGCATGGTGGAAAAGCAAATGGGCTTATCCACGCCACGGGCGCAAAGTACTACACAGGGTGCCACGAGCACGTCTCCGTGGTAAAAGTGATTCACGGAGTCACCGGGACCAACAAGGCCCGGTTGCTAGAGCGAGGGCAAATTGATAGATTGATTGATTTGTGGGGTTTAACGTCCCAAGAGAGCGAGGGCAAAGGCGGTCGCGTTAGCTTCGGAGGGAGACGGGTCAGCGTAGCTTAGCCACGCACTAGGACACCATACCGCCCTTCGGCTGAGCGTACGCAAAAGGGCAACAAAAGGTGAGCGTTCACTTCGGGCGCGAGGCGCCGTCAGCCAAGTCCGACGAGCCCCGAACAACGGGAATCGATGGACGAAAAGGGAATGCGTGCTCACCGTAAGCTGTCCCGGATAATCTCTTACTCACTCCCGACGCATGCGCACAAAACCTCTCGGGAGACTCCGCGCGCGGCGCCACAGTCAACATCCGCTACCGGGTGAGAGGGGTTAAACGTCATTCCTTGCTCTCCCAGCGCGGCTGATAGTGGAGGAGGGGAGTCATGTCGGGACATGAGAATGGCAAAAAAGGCGGCAAAGCCCACGCAAAGGCGGCCGGCTAGCCTCAATTCCCACAAGCCACACATTCAACAGAGTGAGACAGCTAGATAGCTGGGGGTTCTGCTGTCTTCATTAACTGCAGAATAAGAAGGTAACATAATACAAAAGCAAAAGATATAAGAATGCATACCACCATATAAAAATAAACCCTAAAGGCTTTGCAGTGTGTCCCTGCAAAGTCTCCAGCCTGTGAGACTTAATGCACTTGGCAGGCATGAATGTGCATTTCTGTTCATGTAAGGGAGCATCATGGAAGACAGGAAGAGAACAGAGAAAGAGTGAAAAAATTGTTTGTATCGCACTATCTTGCAGGGTGGGGCAGGCTTAAGGTGATAACACGGGATGTAATCACAGCTGAAGACCAAGTTCTCAAGTGTGACCTGCATTTCACTGTGTTATGTCTCCAGCAGCAAGCATTCATCGTTTTCTTTTTTGCACCTGCTGGTCAGAAGACTTCCATTCTAAAATTGCCTAGTCAAACGAAGTCGAACATGTGCTGGAAGTTTGCCTCGCAGTGTGCACGCAACCCGAGAAAAACGGATGTGATCTTGCTGGCTCAGGCAGCCTGCAGGTAGCCAGAAGTATAAAATTGTAGGCCTATTGGTACTGGCTTGCCCAGCATAAGTGCAAAGAGATACCCGTTTTTGGCAGGTAGCTCATATTCCCATGAGAATAACAGTACAATTTGCAGGCTGTGTCTGAATAAAATATCTCACTGATTGAACTTGCACATCCCTTTTTTGTGTGTGTGTGTGTGTGTGTGTGTGTGTGCACACGCACACATGGGATAATTCACTGTGCCACTGTCTTGTCTGCTAAGAGTTCTCAATGCTGGAAAACTTTCGGAAAAGTCACATGTGGAGCTTCTCTCGTAAAGGGACCCTGCAGCACTTTTCTAATTGATTATTAAATGGCTTTATTAAAAGAGCTGATTGCCACGAATAGACTGCCGCAAGAAGTTTTATAATCCATCAAATATGAGTTTTGTAGCATGTTTCTAGTGCTTTCTCTTTTCTTGTACCAGCAAGCATGCTAAAAGCTATATAGGAGGGGGGGATGACAAGGAGGCAAGAAGATGCATCTGTAAGTCAGCTTGAGTGCTTTCTTATCTTTCTTTCATTGAATATCTGGCTTACTTTCAGTGAGATTGCGAGCATGCCCATGGGCATGTGGTGGCATCCTGCGGCGGATGCGTTAACTATGCAGCCCGCAATGCTCAATCTAGCCAATGGCAGTGGGCTTTGGGTTCAAGGCACTGTTATTTTGGTTTGGGGCATCATTTGTCAAAAGAAGAGGGAACAATTGCTAGCTGACTTCGAAAATTAATTGTATATTCCAGGCTGTGTGCTGCATTATAGTGTTTGGTTCGCATGCTCTCGGGAGCCTTGACAACCGATTGACAGAGTTTTCTAACCATGCTGAAAAAGTGTTAAAGGGCCCCTTTAGGTTGGCTGTTCCCTTCAGCATATCCACAGATTTTGTGTGCCACAAATCAGATTTAAAACAAGTGTATGTGTTTTATCCTGCCTTTGTAGGTAATTCAGTGCCTCAAGACACAGTTTGTTCGACATCAGCTGACAAAAACCTGTGAGCCTGTGGTGATGGGCATAGTGCGTGATGCAGCACTTGACTATCAGCTCGATCCTGTCCTGGCAAGAGCCTGTACTTCTGAGGTCTGTAAGCTCTTTTTGCCTTGGCATAACAGTGTTGTTAACACATGCAATAGGCTCGTTCACTTGGAGGGGGAGCGCATAAAAACTTCATTGACCCCTGGTGGCTTAAACTCCTCAGGACCTCCTAATAAAGTTCTTGACTCACTGACTGACCTAATAAATGAACTGGAGTAATACTGCTAAGCGAGCTAGTCGGTATGAATGCATAATAACTTATTTTTTGCACACACTGACACACGGACAAAGAGAGGGCGCGGCACCAGCGCTACTATCAACTGAAGGCTTTATTCAGAAAAAAAAGGATAAAAGGGCTGAAGAGGATAATGGGCACAAAAGATATGGCACGATAGCCTCGAACTTTCAAACTACAGTCGAATCCGGGTATATTGAACTCGCCAAAAAGCGTTTATTAGTTCGATATATGGCATAATTCGGTATAGGCCCGCTATAGGATTAGATGACGCAAAGGCACATCTGATAAAAAGAGTACTTTATTAATATGGTGGCTTACTTGCGTGGCCTACTTTAGAATACAATAGTCCTAGATTTTCTTCTGTTTCAATGACTTCGCTGCCTGCGACAGCACACACGCCTCCACATTGTCCAACGAGTTGGAGCAGCTGAGGCCGCAACCTTCCATGTTCACGCGATAGTGTCAGACCAATGCAAGTGCACTAATCACTTTGAAGGATGTAAACAACGGGCCATCATAAATTTTCTCATTGCAGTCGCGTTGGCTCATGGTCGGCACGACGTCTGCAATGTAGTCTTCATCTTGTAGCTGGCCAATGATGGCGACATTATCGTCCGCACTGACGAACTCGTCGAATGTAGATCCATCGATAGCACTTGGGTACTCTGCCAGCTCGCTCCAAACTTCGGCAGAAACACCTGCAATGCCTCAATGCTGTCATCGACTTTAGAGTGTCATCACCAGGCATGCGGAAGCCGACATGCCTAAAGCAGTTCTGGATTGTCTTCTTCGTGACATCTGCTCATGATCTACTCTGCATAGAAAGAGATCCAAAGAAGTCGATCTTCAGCTCCCTGCTGACACGAAGGTTGTGCAGCAGCCTCTCCACCAGGTGCTTCCGATAGCCAGCTTTTAGGGTGCATATGACGCCTTGATCCAGTGGTTGCAGGACAGACATAGTGTTTGGGGGCGAAAAACACAGCTCGATATTGCTGAAGGTCGTACTGCAGTGATGCGATGAACAATTGTTCACGAGCAGGCACACCTTGCGATTTTCGCCTACCGACTCATCGTTCCACGACGATAGCCACCTGCTGAAAACATCCCCAGTCATCCAGGCTTTTGAGTTTGCTCGGTAGGTAACTGGAAGCGGCACCGCATTTCGAAAACACCGTGGTGTCGTGCTTTTCCCGATAACTAGAGGTCGCAGCTTTATTTATCCATATTAAATTAGCTGCCAACAGCACGGACACGTGGGCTTCGTTTGCCTTGTCACCACAAGTTTTGTCGCCCCGACATGGAAGTGTCTTGTTTGAAAACATTTGCCAAAATACAGCGGTTTCATCCGCTTTGAAAATATATTGTGCTCGATATTGTAGCAGATATAACAACCTCACAACAAGGATGTCCTATTTACAGGTTTTAATAAGAGCAAACTTGTGCCCAAAGCCAAAGGAATCAAACAGCAGCTGGGAAAAGGAACCGAACGTCCGTAGTCCTCGCGAACCTCTGCCTCGAGCACCGTCGTTTTCGTCTTCATGCGCGCTGGCCGCTCTGTCGAAACTCATGCGCATGCAGCACCCGCTCACCCATTGCGGCTGGCTTCGTCTCTTGTAGCGGTGCCGTCAGCGCTTCTCTGGTTCGTTATGTCTGCCTTACACTGAGCGTTGGCAGTTTCCCGTGGCAATATCTTGCTGTGATATCTCGCTAGTTTTTTTTAGCCATTTTTCTACGCTGTTCAGGTCCATCACTCTGCTTTCACCCGTAACTGCTTTGCCAACGATGTCGTGCCATTCTTTGATCCATTGGAGCCAGCCGGAACTACCTTGTAAATTGTTCCTGTCAAGCAAGAAATCAAGGTTCTTGGCTTTCTGCTTGATCATAGGGCCGGATACCGAGATGTCTCGCGACTGAAAGTCCACAAACCACTTGTAAATGGCCGCTTTGGCATCTTCGTACACAGCAGTGTGCACAAGTCGGGCGTCATGGGCACCTGGCTTTTTGTCCAACTTGGCCCTGATGTCTGCCTTGTTCTTCAGGATAGTACTCGATGTGCTCCTTGGAATCTTGTACGCGGCGGCAACGTTGGACTTCTTACTGCGCTCGACTCAGTTTATGATTTCGAGTTTCGCAGTGAACGGCAATTTTTTCCTTTTTGCACAAGCCATGATGGCAACACCACGAGCACGGACCACGCCGGATGAGGACTCGAGAAAAAGAGGCAGCAGTAGGCACACAAACATAAAGAAAAAAAAAAATGGCGCTCACTTGTACTGCATCCACGCCTTGGAGAAAGCACGATGGCCTCTGATTGGCTGTAAGCGCTGTGAGCAGGCCAGGATAATTTTTTTTGGGGGGGTGTTCGCCCATGCAGAGCCGAGTCTAAACCACCCTTTTTAGGGTGATGCCGGCAGTTTTCGTCGCCTCCTCGAGGGAAAGCCAACTTGCTGGGGCACTTTTGAAGCACATGGAGTTGGATATATCGGTTGTTGCTGCGATTTTTGTTCGATGTAACAGTAACTTTTGCTATATATTCTCAATGTAAATTTACCATGTTTAGAAATTGTTCGATATATGGGATAATTTAATATAAACGGGTTCGATATAGTTGGGCTCGACTGTACAATGGTGCGCATGGGCAGCAGGTGATAGCATTGATGTAGTAGATATTTTCCTTTCTTGAATAAAGCCTTCAGCTGATAGTAGCGCTCGTGTCATTCTCTCTCTTTTTCCGTGGGTCAGTGAGCGCAAAAAATTAAGTTAATAGGACCTAATAAAATGACAAAATTATCTTAGAGACGTGGTTGAAATAAAGTTGCAGCAGTGCTACTTGTGTAAGGCGCACAATTTTTTTTTCTCCGAGATATTTCACCAGTTCAACTGCATTTAGATTGCAATTCAAAATAGTTATGTGACATATATAGTCACATACTAATATTTTGTTTGTGGGCAGTACTGCAGAAATGGTCTGAATAATTAGGCAGTTGGGAAAAACAAATTTGTGGACATATATCTGCTAGTTTTGAGTTCCATTAAAACACTATTTACTTGAAACTTAGTGATGCTGTTGGTCATGTTTATGTTTTGCATTTGCTCATAGTGTGGCCATATGTGCATCGCAGGTCATCAAGAACTGTAGTTATCTGCATGCAGCCTTGTCCATCATACTGTCAGTTCAGTTTGTGATGAAAAAAAAAAGAGTTTTTTTGCTTTATGCCCCCGCATGAGCCTGGTGGGCATTGACATGAGCTTAATTCGCATTTGCAATAGTTGTCAGACTCGAGGTTCACTTCACCATTGTGATCATCAATGAAACTTGTCCACATGGTCTAACGGTTGATTCAGGTCAGTTTCAGTTTATTTACTTTCATTTAAAACATACATGCTTACATAAGTATACAGAAGGAGGTCCCAGATCACTTGGCTGAACAGGGACCTCCTGTCAGAAAATGCGTGGAAATTTTACAAGTAAAATGCAACTGGCACGAATGTGGAATAAGTTTACAAATAAATGTAATACAAACTAAAGATAGTCATATTTTAAAAATTATTTTATGCAGGATAAAAGGATGGCAATGCAATGAGCGACTAATTTTATATTTGCTGAACTGATCTTGTCTGTATCTGTGCCCGTAACCTTTCAATGATTTATTAGATCATTTGATTTATGACATCAAGTGATTTGTGACATCTTGTCTTGGTCAGTTGGAAATAATTACATTGATTGTAAACTACATTGAGGTGATACTTGATTATTAATGTTTTCCTCAGAAGTGGGACCACAGAAGAACTCATTGACAGCATTGGCAATATATAACAGTTCGCTATAGAAGCCATTTGATGATCGAAGCTTTGTTATGGGTTCATCCCAACTAGATCGGTTCAGGAAACAATTTATTATTTTCCATTGTCGCTCCACGATAAAGAACCCCAGGTGGTCGAAATTTCCGGAGCCCTCCACTATGGCGTCTCTCATAATCATATGGTGGTCTTGGGACGTTAAACCCCACAAATCAATCAATCAATCCATTGTCGCTCTGCATCTGAGCCAGCCTGAGCTATTCTACATTCGTGATATCTTCTTTTGGCTTCTCTAAGTAGCTTGTTAAGCAGTTTGCAGTAAACTTTATAGCACGTGATGAGTTGAATGTTGAAAGGACGCCTTTTAACATTGCTTACTGCAATACTTTCTTAACTTTGTTGCTGTAATACTGGTACTCACACATTTTAAGAGTAATATTTGGATTATCATTTGGTGCCGAGTACAGAATGCAATGGTGATGACACTTTAGCGGAGTGCACATTATTTGGGGCAAGTTTTTTTACATTGCACTACATTTCTTTAGGCTATTCTATCATTAGCAGGGCAGCTAGTGTCATCTAGTAGCAGCTTATAAAAATTAACCATGGGCAGTATTCTGAAGTAATTGCAAAAAGGCAACAATCACCAAACTGTCTACTTTGGTTGCACTGATTGGCTATTGAGTGAAACCATAAAAGTGAGAGCATTGTGTAGTATTTCAGTCAACGTGACTGTGTTCTGCAGCAGGAGTTCTCAAGCATGTTGGAACTCTGCTAAGCTTCCATAAGTGCAATGGAACCTGTTGCCTCCCCCCCCCCCCCTCGTTTTCATGCAAGCATTTTTCATTCGGTTCATGCTACATTCGCAAGCAATAAATTTAGAAGCAAGGGATATAAAAGGTGATGTCTTAACTGACAATGCAAACCCTTTCCTTGCAAAAACAAATCAGTGCAAGGCTCAGTAACACTGAGGGCCATCCACATGTGTACTGGATTCAGCTGATTC